ACAACTTATTACATATTATTTTAACATTCATTCATAATCATTGTCTCAAACATTTATTTCACTGGGAGTTAAAGAATGAAGATTTCCTATTTCTATCATTTTTCTCTCTATATTTTTTAATTTGAACTCAATTAGCCAACATATAGTACATCATAGTTTCAGATGTTGTGTTCAGTAATTTATCAGTTGTGTATAACACCCAGTGCTCATCACATCGCGAGCCCTCCTTAATGCCCATCACCCAGTTACCCCATCCCCCCACCTCCCTTCCAGTAACCCTCAAGTTTGTTTCCTATAGTTAAGAGTCTCTCATGGTTTTTCTCCCTCTCTGATGACTTCCCATTCAGTTTTCCCTCCTTTCCCCTATGATCCTCTGTGCTGTTTCTTATATTCCACATGTGAGTGAAACCATATGATAATTATCTTTCTCTGAGTGACTTATTTCACTCAGCATAATACCCTCCAGTTCCATCCACATTGGAACAAGTGATAGAAAACTAACTCCTATCAGCTTAAGGAGAAGTAGAATCTATTGGTGGATGTAATTGCAAAGTCCAAAGTTCTTGCAAGTTTCAAGCAGGGCTAGGGTAAGTATTCAACCTTTCTGATGGCTGAGTAATATTCCATTGCATAGGAATGTGTGTGTGTGTGTGTTGGCTATTGTGGACATTGCTGCTATGAACATTGGGGTGTGTGTGCCCCTTTGGATCACTATATCTGTATCTTTGGGGTAAATACCTAGGAGTGCAATTGCTGGGTTGTAGGGTAGCTCTATTTTTAGCTTCTTGAGGAACCTCCATACTGTTTTCCAGAGTGGCTGCACCAGCTTGCATTCCCACCAACAGTGTAAGAGGGTTCCCCTTTCTCCACATCCTTCCCAACATTTGTTATTTCTTGTCTTGCTAATTTTAGCCATTCTGACTGGTGTAAGGTGGTATCTCATTGTGCTTTTGATTTGTATTTCTCTGATGACAAGTGACGTGGAGCATTTTTTCATGTGTCTGGTGGCCATTTGTATGTCTTCTTTGGAGAAATGTCCGTTCATGTCTTCTGCCTGTTTCTTGACTGGAGTATTTGTTTTTTGGGTCTTGAGTTCTTTATAGATCTTGGATACTAGCCCTTTATTTGTTTTTTTTAAAGATTTTATTTATTTATTTGACAGAGAGAGACACAGCGAGAGAGGGAACACAAGCAGAGGGAATGGGAGAGGGAGGAGCAGGCTTCCTGCTGAGCAGAGAGCCTGATGCGGGGCTCGATCCCAGGACCCTGGGATCATGACCTGAGCCGAAGGCAGATGCTTAACGACTGAGCCACCCAGGTGTCCCGTAGCCCTTTATTTGATATGTCATTTGCAAATATCTTCTCTGATTCTGCAGGTTGCCTTTTAGTTTTGTTGACTGTTTCCTTTGCTGTGCAGAAGTTTTTTTTTTTTTTATCTTTTTAAAAAAGGCTTTATTTATTTGTTTGATGCAGAGAGAGAGAGAGAGAGAGAAAGAGAGCACACAAGCTCAGGGAGAGGCAGACTCCCTGCTGAGGTTTAAGGTACCTATAAAGCTTTTGATCTTATGCACTGTAAAGTTTACTTTCCTGAGTTGATAATATTAAAGGTTTACTCCTAAAAGCCATACACTTCAATCAGAAGTGGCAGTTGAATCACTAAAAAAAAATGTCTTCTGGAAACCAGAGTGCTACTCTAACTGATCTTCCACTTTGGGTTATTTACGAACAATGTATTCTTCATGCTGATTATGATGTCTTTTTTTTTTTTAAGATTTATTATTATTATTTATTTATTTGACAGAGAGAGAGACAGCGAGAGAGGGAACACAAGCAGGGTGAGTGGGAGAGGGAGAAACAGGCTTCCCGCCGAGCAGGGAGCCTGAAGCGAGGCTTGATCCCAGGATCCTGGGATCATGACCTGAGGCAAAGGCAGACACTTAATGACTGAGCCACTCAGGTGCCCCTGATTATGATGTCTTAATAAATATTCACCTACTCCTAGTAACTCAACATAAGAACTTCAGGGTCATAATGAGTCCTCATGTATCCATCAGACACATGTTATCAGATACCAAGTTCTGCACATTCTATCTCCAAAAACAGGCCAAAAAACACCTCACAATGTTAATTATCAAGAATCTGTGGGAGAGGGGAAAAATAGTCCCTGGATTACTAAAGACATTGTTTGCCAGTGATAGAAAACTAACTCCTATCAGCTTAAGGAGAAGTAGAATCTATTGGTGGATGTAATTGCAAAGTCCAAAGTTCTTGCAAGTTTCAAGCAGGGCTAGATGAAGGGACCCAAATAATGACATCAGGGCCTGTACTTCTTATCTATTTGGTTTGTTTCTGTTTGACTTCATTCTACAGACTGCCTCTCTCCATGTAGCAGACAAGATGGCCACCAGTAGCTCCAAACTCACATCCTCCTAGACTAGCAATCACTGGGTACAGAGAACTTCTCTCTACCAGTGTTTTATTTTTAAGCTTTTAAAAAAGATTTATTCCCTTTTGGGTACCGGCACTGTGGGATGATACAGAGTACAGAGATTTGGAATGAGGCTTTGCAATTTTTTAAAGTAAACCCTACCCCTGACATGGGGCTCAAATTCAGGACCCCAAGATCAAGAGTCACATGCTTTATTGCCTGAGCCAGCCAAGTGCCTCTTCCAGTGTTTACTTATTAATTCCAGGCAAGGCTGTGATCATTCCTTCTTGGATCCATGCCCAAATCTGAACCAACCACTCTGGATGGGAGAGTGGGGTGTTCTGGTCATCCTGGCTCATAAATCCAATGCATTCCATGTGAGAATCTAGTGATGTACATTATCATCAGGACTAAATGGAGGAGGGGAGGAGTTTCCCAAACAGATCCAAAGAATGGAAATGGGAAAGAATGTCCTTGAACAAAAAATCTGGTTACTATGATCCACTAGTTGTTCCATCAGCTGAGTTGAACAAAGGATTGGAGAAGGAACACTTAAGACAAAAGGATAAATTAGGAAGCTGTTTTAAAAGTTAAGGTGAGGGGATGCCTGGGTGGCTTAGTCAGTTAAGCATCTGCTTTTGGCTCAGGTCATGATCCCAGGGTCCTGGGATTGAGCCCCACTTTGAGCCCCACATCCAGCCCCACATCAAGCCCCACATTGGGCTCCCTGTTCAGCGGGAAGCCTGCTTCTCCCTCTCCCACTCCCCCTGCTTGTGTTCCCTCTCTCGCTGTGTCTCTCTCTGTCAAATAAAAAAAAAATCTTAAAAAAAAAAAAAAAAGCCAGATCTTGCCTCCGGTACTATGGAGTAGTAACTATTAGACTCAGAAATTCTACGTTCCTTATTGACATCCATGTCGTACTAATTTATAAATGGACTCAACAGTGGTTCCTATTCTACCACATTTACCCCCAAATTCAAATATAGAATAAAAAACTTGTCAACTGGCCCCTTATAAAAATGACTATTGCCATATGAAGATAAACACAAGACACTATTTCCAAATGACATTTATCCAGAACATAGATGATTGAGCAGAGAGTGAAGGATATAAATATCACTTAGTATCTTCAGCCTCCACATAGTGGACATGGTCTAAGCCCAGTGCATTGATGAGATTAGGGGTCATGAGATGTTTAACATATATTACCTGATTTAATCTGCACATCTGTACAAGATGAACATTATTTTGTGATTCTGTGAAGGTTGATAGATTTCTCAAGATCATACAACTGGTAATGTTGGATCTGGGATTTAAGTGCACATCTGTGTGAATCCAAATGTTATTCTCTTAATTCATATACAGCGTCATGTATATTTCCTAACAAGGAAAGCACCCCAGCTTGGGTGGAGGATAAAATATAGGATTGTGAGTTTTCTCTAGCAGAAAAATGATTGCTAATGATTTCCCCGAAGAGTGCTTCATTTCCAATGTTGCCAAGCTCTAAAGCAGCAATATGATGGCAGGACTTTATTATCAATGTTGGATCCAAAAGAGCCCAAGGAGGAGAAGGGACAATTACTTGCTCTTTGTCTCTAATGAGGCTCTTAGGGAATATGGCCCTAGTGGCCATGGAGGCTCTTGTAAAGAGCTGGTCCTCTGATTCCCCCAAACATCCTTCCTGCACCAAGGGTTGAGTCTGTGTACTCCAACCCTTATTCAAGCAAACTTAGCCTGAAAACACCAGTGACAAGTCCCTTTTCCTCTAACCAATGATCTCTGGCCAGGTCCGGAAAAGTGAAGCAAGCTTGGGACTTCTGGTGACTGTGATGACTGCCATTCTTTCTGGGGTAAGAGTCAGATCAGTGGGACTTTATCAATAACTGATTGTTAAGGTGCAAACCTTTTGTGGGGGCACTCCTCACTGCATCTTTCTTTAAAGTGGAGCCAAAGAAACAGTTCTGAGATCATCAACCATCCCTTGCAATCACCTAGTCATGACCATATATGTCTTGTATGTTTATGAGACCTGAACTGTGGAGAGAACCAACTGGCTGAGTTTCTGTCCATAACTCTGGGTCATTTCCATTTCCATTTTACAGGTTAGATTGAGGGAGCTCAGTGGACATAACCAAGAAGGGCTGGCTCAGAGCTCTGTAAAGTGCTCAGAAAATGTGAGCCCAGGAAGCAGCAGCAGCAATATTATCATATTGATTGATCACTGATATCATCCTCAGAGCAAACATGTTAGGAATGTGTAACATGTCCACATTAGAGATAATGGACCTGAAAAATGTCCTCTAAGGCAACACCACTAATGATAATAATGACATCAATATCCATATATTAGGATATGTGCTTACTATATGTCAGGCTGTATGGTAATCACTTATGTATGTGCTCCAGTACTCATTATAAATATTAATATGTCTATTAATATTCTTATATCTATAGTGATTTATGACACTATTTGAAGATACAAGGTCATGATAGAAAGTTCAAACATAAAAAGAATTTATGGATACAACCATTGTCCCAGTCTTTCAATGTCCTTCCAGAGGCACTGCCCTCATTTTGCTAATGAAAAAATGGTGGCACAGAAAAGACCATCATTGGCCAAACACACAGGGAGGAAGGTTCTAATGCCTCACTGATGTCACATAGCCTTTCTCCTTGCAGTCTTCTTAGTTGCTCCACTTTAACCATCATTTTCCAGGCTTTTGAATTTTTCCTGCTTTATCTGCCTCTGGACTCAGGCTTCCAGCCTCATGAGAGGGACAAACCAGTCCAGTGTTTCTGAGTTCCTCCTCCTTGGGCTCTCCAGGCAACCCCAGCAGCAGCAGCTCCTCTTTGTACTCTTCCTGAGCATGTACCTGGCCACGGTCCTGGGAAACCTGCTCATCCTCCTGGTCATTGGCATGGACTCCCGCCTTCACATCCCCATGTACTTCTTCCTCAGCAACCTGTCCTTTGTGGACATCTGCTTCTCCTCTACCACTGTCCCCAAGATGCTGGCCAACTACATACTCGGGACTCAGACCATCTCCTTTTCTGGGTGTCTCACACAGATGTATTTTGTATTCATGTTCGTGGACATGGACAATTTCCTCCTGGCTGTGATGGCCTATGACCGCTTTGTTGCCATATGCGCCCCCTTACACTACTCAACAAAGATGACCCACCAGCTCTGTGCCCTGCTGGTTGTGGGTCATGGGTCATTGCCAACCTGAATGTTCTATTGCATACCCTGCTGATGGCTCGACTCTCGTTCTGTGCAGACAATGCCATCCCCCACTTCTTCTGTGATGTGACACCCCTCCTGAAACTCTCCTGCTCCGACACACACCTCAGTGAGGTGATGATTCTGACTGAGGGTTCTCTGATCATGATCACTCCATTTATTTGCATCTTGGCTTCATATGTCCGTATTACCTCTGCTGTCCTGCGAGTCCCATCCACAAAGGGAAAATGGAAAGCCTTCTCCACCTGTGGATCCCACCTGGCCATGGTTTCTCTCTTCTATGGCACCATCATTGCTGTGTATTTCAACCCTTTGTCCTCACACTCTTCTGAGAAGGACACCACAGCTACTGTGATGTACACAGTGGTGACCCCCATGCTGAACCCCTTCATCTACAGCCTGAGGAACAGGGACTTGAAAAAGGCCCTACAAAAAATGATGGGCAAGAAGACATGCTCTTAGTGATAAAAGTATAATGGACCTATTTTCCCAGGCATATTAATCTTTGGCAACTTACTGAAATGAAGCTATCAAAGTGTATGCAAGGAACTTAGAATAAATACTCTCAATAGACAGTTATGAATGAACTTAGTCTTAAGTACAACCCTGCTCCTTTAAATGGGTAATTTTGTTTCTAATTACTGTATTTATTTATTTTTTAAAGATTTTATTTATTTATTTGAGAGAGAGAATGAGATAGAGCATGAGAGGGGGGAGGGTCAGAGGGAGAAGCAGGCTCCCCGCCGAGCAGGGAGCCCGATGCGGGACTCGATCCAGGGACTCCAGGATCATGACCTGAGCCGAAGGCAGTCGCTTAACCAACTGAGCCACCCAGGCGCCCTCTAATTACTGTATTTAAACCTTCTTTGCATAAAGGTCAAGTTTTTCCTTTCTAGGTGATCACTCTAAAAATTTACACATAACCAAATTTGTTTTCACTTCCTTTTTGGAAATGCTCTCAGAATTTAAGGCAGTGTTTTTCAATAGTGGTTACATGACAGTATCGCCTGGGGAGTTTTGACACCATATATATGGTTGCTGGACCAAGCTTTGACCAATTAAAGCAGAATTTCTGGAGTGGGATCCAGGCATTGGCATTTTCCCCCTTTAAGTTCCCCAGGGGGTTCTAATGTAATTTCTGAGTTGACAATCATGCTGCTTTGGATGTACTTTATGATTGCTCATTATGAAGAGTGAGCCTAGAAACCCTAAGAAGAAATCTGATGCCTAATGAGAGTAATAACAATAGAGGTGGAAAAGTCACTGAAGTTTTCTGTGGGCTCAAGTGTTCCTAGGCTGAGAGGGCTGGTCTGTTGGCTGAACTCACATTCCTGAGCCTCACGTGGGATCCAAAGAATACTTCATAATTTTTAGTGCTCCTATTAGTCTGTTTAGGCTGCTCTAACAAAAACACCATACACTTTGTAGCTGAGACAACAAACATTTATTTCTCACAGTTCTGGAGGCTGGAAGTCCAAGATCAAGGTGTCAGCAGATTCAGTGTCAGATGGGAGCCTGCTTCTTGGTTCTTCTTTCTGTGTCCTCAGGTGGTAGAAGGGGTTAGGAAGCTCTCTGGGGTCTATTTTATGAAGACACTAATCCCTTCATGAGGGGTCCCCCACTCATGACTTAGTCACCTCCCAAAGGTCCCACCTCCAAATACTACACATCGGGGGTTAGGTTTCACACATTTTGATATTTTGGAGGGGTGCGCAGTCTGTGGCAATGTCTCATCCTCCAATTTGATTGCCTTGCTTTATGGGGGTATATTTAGCAATAAGGTGTTCCTTTGATTTTGAAGAAACAGATTAACATTTGCTTTTTCATCTGTTCAGGATGCCTAGTCTTTCCCCCTGAGGGGAAAACCTTCTCTGAACCTTCAAGATCCCAGTCAATATTTCCCCTATGAAGCCTTTGGTGATTCCTCTAGGCTGAGATTCTCATTCCCTCTCCTGAGTTCCCACAGAAAACTCCTCTTGGAGTTATATATGTGATACTGTGTAGTCTGTTTATTGCTGCTTCCTCTCCCCCTTCCTCTTTGCCCTTAGGCACTCTAAAGACTTTGAGATGCTCAGGGATCACACGCATAAACTATTCACCTTGGACACCCATAAAAAGCTTGGCTCCTGACACTTATTGCATTTGCAAACTATTAATACTGAATAGGGGAATGATAGCATGTGCTTCTGGAGAACCCAATCTGAGACGTCTTTTAGCTTTTTAAAGAAATATTTTATTTGTTTATTTGAGAGAGAGAGAGTGATCCTGAGAGCGGGGCAGGGTAGGGGAGGGAGAGGGGCCAAAGGAGAGGGAGAAGCAGACTCCCCGCTGAGCAGGGAGCTCAACTCAGGGACCATGACCTGAGCTGAAGGCAGATGCTTAACCTACTGAGCCACCAGGTGCCCCCTGAGAGGTCTTTTAATAATAGTAACAATGACAGAATGACAACAAAGGAAAAGAACAGATATACCATGTTGCATAATCAAAGGTTAAGTATTACTGTCTAGTCCATTTGCCGCATTAGTGACTATTTATTGAAACAACATTTAGTATTTTATTTGGAGATAATAATTTTACGAAATAGGGCGCCTGGGTGGCTCAGTTGGTTAAGCGACTGCCTTCGGCTCAGGTCATGATCCTGGAGTCCCAGGATCGAGTCCCGCATCGGGCTCCCTGCTCGGCAGGGAGTCTGCTTCTCCCTCTGACCCTCCCAACCCTCCCCCCCTCATGCTCTCTCTCTCTCAGTCTCTCTCTCTCAAATAAATAAAATCTTTAAAAAAAATAATTTTACAAAATACAGTGTTGCTATTCAGTCATTTTGCTTGATTTTTCTGTGCATGTGTCATTGTTTACCACTAGTTTCTTTTTTTTTTTAAACATTTTATTTATTTATCAGAGAGAGAGAGAGCGCAAGCAGGGGGAGCTGCAGGCAGAGGGAAAAGCAGGCTCCCTGCTGAGCAGGGAGCCCCATGCGGGACTCGATCCCAGGACTCCAAGATCATGACCTGAGCCGAAGGCAGACGCTTAACTGACTGAGCCACCCAGGCGTCCCACCACTAGTTTCTTTTTAAAACTCACTACTCTATTAGCTTCTTAAACACTGATCTCTGCGTGTTTCTGTGTCTCTTTGCTCCATTTGTTTTGCCACCTCCTCCTCTTCTACCATTTTATAAACATTTGTTTTCCTCTTGGGTTTATATGCTTGGACTTCTTTTCTGTCTATCCTCTGTTCATGGGCAATCACATCTACTTCGTGTCTTTAACCACATCTATGTTCTTGTGACTTCTGAATCCATATCTGTCAGACCTCCCCTTGACCTATATATCCATTCTGCCCAGACTGGATGTCTTCACACCCAACACTTCCTAATGGAACCCATGGAATCCACACTGCCACCATCATACCATGATCCATCCCAACAAGCACAGATGCATTTCTCTCCTGCCTGCACTGCCTATCTCAATTAGTGGTTCTCAATCAATGTTGCAATCCTCCTACACTTGCCCTAATCCCACATATCCAATCAGTCACTAAGTGCTCTGCATACTACTTCCCTATCATTCCTCAATATTATTCCCTACTGTAGTGAGTGGGATTGTGTCCCCCAGCCTGCAAAAGATGTTCAAGTCCTAACTCCTAGTACCTATTAATATGACCTTATTTGGAAATAGGGTATTTACAGATGTAATCAAGTTAAGATTTGGTCATACAGGATTAGGGCAGGTCCAATTTCAATGACTGCTGTCCTCCTAAGAAGAGGGAAATTTGGACACAGCTACCCACAGAGAGAACACCATGTGAAGACACAAAGATCCTCAGGAATAATGCCACGTGAAGATTGGCAGAGCCTGGAATGGTACATCTACAAGCATCACTAAGGATTGTTGGCATGAAGCAATCCTAAGTGAGGACCCTAAGGGTTGATGGCAGCCACTGAAGCTAGAAAAGGGGCATGAAACGGATTCTCTCTCAGAGCCTCCAGAACGAACCATTCTTGCCAACGCCTTAATTTTGGACCTCTAGTCTCCAAAACTGTAAGAGAATAAATTTCTGTTGTTTAAAGTCACCTAATTTATGATACTTTGTTACGGCAGGCCTAGGAAACCAATACACCACCCAATAGGACTGCTTGCCTTATCTTTTCCATATGACCTGTACAACCTTCAGTTGCAGGTGTTTGCATTCTTATGGGGTCTTCCACTATGAACATATAAGGCCTTTGAAATAAGAAATGAGTCATTATTCACATTTGCACACAGAGTGTTAGTTCCTGGGTCTGGTTCATATAAAGTGCATGTTTCACGAATAATGAGAAGCAGAAGTCAGTATGCTGAGGAAATTATTTTGTGTTTTTCTCCCTGTCCCCCCTACCCCAACTAGGCTGTACTCCATGAGTGCAGGGACCAGATTTTTCAATAGTATCTGCAATATTGTGGTTGCTCAACAATTCTCTCATGTGAATAAATGATTATATGAATGATTCAATATGGGGAAGTTACTTGTAGAGGATGATGAAGTTTCCTAAAGGAGTTGATGGGCTTGGTTCAGCTCTCTGCCACCTCACATCAGAACTTCCAAGCCATAATGAAACTTGATATGCGTGTTTTAATGTATTTTTTAATGGTTATTTTTTTTACATTTAAAGTGGTTACAAAAATATTGAAAAATTTAAAAGTAGGTATATTTAGGGGCGCCTGGGTGGCTCAGTCGTTAAGCATCTGCCTTCGGCTCAGGTCATGGTCCCAGGGTCCTGGGATCGAGCCCCGCATCGGGCTCCCTGCTCCGCGGGAGGCCTGCTTCTCCCTCTCCCACTCCTGCTGCTTGTGTTCCCTCTCTCGCTGTGTCTCTGTCAAATAAATAAAATCTTAAAAAAAAAAATAAATAAAAGTAGGTATATTTAAACTCACATTTTATTTTATTATTTTATTTATTTTTTATTTTTTTAAAGATTTTATTTATTTATTCATTAGAGACAGAGAGAGAGAGGCAGAGGGAGAAGCAGGCTCCCAAGGAGCAGGGAGCCCGATGCGGGACTCGATCCCAGGACCCTGCGATCATGACCTGAGCCGAAGGCAGACGCTTAGCCATCTGAGCCACCCAGGCGCCCCTATTTTATTTATTTTTTAAGTAGGCTCCATGCCTAACGCAAGTGGGGCTCAAACTCAAGGACTCTGAGATGAAGTGTCACATGCTCCACCAACTGAACCACCCAGGAACCCCTAAACTCACATTATTTTAACTGCAATATTTTATTTACACCCAAATCAGAATCTTTTATAATTTTACTTTTCCAAGGATAGAGTCCCTTCTTGACCAAACTCTAATCAGGCTCCTCCCTCTTCTTGACTATGTTCAACTTTGGCCTAAAAGACTTGAACAACTAACACCCAACAGCTCAAGGCCACATCCCTAGGATGACCCTAGGTGTCCTTACTGCCTGCCTCAGAAAAACCAAGGCTGCCAAAAGAATGTACCATTTGTTCCAGAAACACCTGAAGACAGGGATCCTGTCTTTATGGTAGGGTAGGAGCCTTGCTTCCATAAGGGCCAATTAGCAAACCCAGATGTTTCACAAGGACCAACCCTCTCATCCAGCTTTTTGTAATTTTTCATTTCCCTGACTGCTGAAGCTTCTGCTATTCCCGCTCCCTACTTCCTCATTCTCCCTTTAAAATGCCCAATCACCTCTGCAGAAAATGGAATGGAGCTCAGCTCCTTCCCCTACCGTCAGTAGTTACTGAATAAAATCAGTTTTCACTGCTTTAACTAATGTCTGGCTGTGTTTATCTTTGACACTAGCTTAGTATGAGTAAACTCACCAGTAATGTTTTCAGAATCTTCTTTGCCTGTTTCAACTGAGAGAACTGCCGTACTTCACAATTTCTCTTGACTAAGCGAAGGTGTTAAATAATATCAACTTTCAGCTTGTCTTTAAAATTCTTATATTTTGTTAAAAGATTTTTTGCATTAACTTGCTTTTTAAAAAAAAAACTGCAACCCCCCCCCAAAAAAAAAAAACCACTGCACTGAAATATTACTTACTTTGATTACTAAGCCTTTTGAGCCCCTTAATTTCGCACTTTTCTCACATTTCGCACGTCCCCTCCGCCCACCGGGTGTCCGGAGTCGCCGGCGAGCCGGACGACCGCCCTCAAACAGTCGGCCACACGCAGGCGCAGCGCGGGAGAGGCGGATCCGTCGGAATCACTTCCCGGAAGCGCTGTACCCGCCCTCAAACGGAACCAGTCAGAGGCTGCGTCGCCCCCGCCCAGCGTACTCTTGCCCAATTAGATAGGAGGAGCGGAGTCTCCGCTCTGCAAGGTCTCTGCGAGGAGGTGAGGCTTAGTCTTTCTCCGAAGTGCGGCAGGCTGGTGACTCCAGCGTGGAATGGGGGCTCTACGCTGCCGTAAGTGGCTCTGACTCTTTCCCCCCGAAATGGCGTAAAGAGGCACTCTGGGGTTGGTGCCCACAAAACCTGGGCAACTGGCGGGTCCCATGAGCCTTCCGCTGCACCTGCTCCGGTCCTTTAGGGCTCTGCCCCATCGTCTTCCCTTCCTGGTTAGGATGGGTCACAGGTGTTTAGGAATCCTATCTTCTATTTCCACAGGCTGGGACTGTCTGAAGTCAAGGTCTGACTTACAGTTTGGATATCCTTTCAAAAGGCGAGGTTGGCTGAGGATCCAGCAGCGCAAAAGCGGGTGTAGGTGGCTCGGGCCCTTCTCAGAGTAAGGGCGCCTCTGTACTCCGAGGACCAGGCATTGCCTGGGTGATTATTAGAAATGCATAATCTCAGGCTGCATCCCAGACTTCCTGATTCAGATTCATTGCTTTAACAACATGCCTAGGTGATTTCTGTGCACGTTAATGTTTGAGAATTGCTGCTTTAAGCTTCCAAGATTCCTAATGTAGGAGGCAATGTTGATGTATGCATTTGGTTCTGGAGACAGTGGCCTATACTGCAAACGTAAAGGAGAGGTTAAGGTGTGATCCTTGGTCCTCAGACTTAGGATCTTTATGACTTTCCATGTATCACTTGTCACTTAATCAAGATGATACAATGAAAATGGTGTGATACAGGTAGAAAACCTTTGTCAGCATAGGTATCTGGGAATGTACAGAAGCTCTCAGAAAAAGGAAACTAATATACACGAAAAGGCACTAATCAACCTGAGGCTTAAAGACTGATAGGCTGTGTATTAGGGATGAATGGATCTATCCCATCTGCATCCCACAAATATCGTTTCAAGGTAAGGAATTCACTTCATCATAAAAGAAATGTGAGGGGCGCCTGGATGGTTCAGTCGGTTAAGCATCTGACTTGATTCGGCTCTGGGCATGATCTCAGGGTCCTAGGATTGAGCCCTGGATTGCGCTCCGTGCTCAGTGGAGAGTGCTTGGATTCTCTCTCTCTCCTTCTGCACCTCCCCCTGCTCTCTCTCTCTCAAATAAATAAATAAATCCTTAATAAAAAAGAATGTGATAACCAGTTGCCAAAATGGCCCCCAGTGATCCTGATATTGTGTAATCCCTTCCCACATTGATTTGGGCTGACTGTGTCTTTTTTTTTTTTTTTTTAAGATTTTATTTATTTATTTGAGACAGAGAGAATGAGAGACAGAGAGCATGAGAGGGAGGAGGGTCAGAGGGAGAAGCAGACTCCCTGCCGAGCAGGGAGAGGGCTGACTGTGTCTTAATCCATTCAGGCTGCTAAAACAAAATACCATAGACTGGCTAGTTATAAACAACAGAAATGTATTTTTTCACAGTTCTGGAGGCTGGGAAATCTAGGATCAAGATGCTGGCACATTTGGTGTCTGGTGAGAGCCTATCTCCTGGTTCATAGATGGCAATCTTTCAGTGTAACCTCGCTTAGTGGAAGGGACAAGGGAGCTTTCTCAGACCTTCTGTTATAAGGGCACTAATACCATTAGTGAGGGTTCTGCCCTCATGACCAGATCACCTCATAAAGGCACTGCCTCCCAATACCATCACCTTGGAGGTTAGGATTTCAACATCTGAATGTTGTGGGGACATAACCATTCTGTCCGTTGCACTGTGTAAACAGCAGAATCTTGCGGAAATGATGGTGTGTGACTGTAGGAGCTCCATCACAAAAGATAGTGTGGTTTCCATCTTGCTCTCTTGAATCAGTTGCTCTGGGAAACCAGTTACTCTGTTGCAAGGACGTATCAAGTTAGCTCTATGGAGAAGTTGATGTGAGGAACTGAGGCTTTCTTGCCACAGGTAATGTGAGGACACCATCTTGGAAGCCCTTCCTCCAGCCACAGTCAAGCATTCAGATGACTGGGTCCCTGCTGACAATTTAACTGCAGTCTCATGACAAATCCTGATCTAGAACCATTCATCTAAACCATTACCAGGTCCCTGACCCACAGGATTTGTGTGAGATAAATGTTTACTGTTTTAAGTTGCTAAGTTTGGGGATAAGTTGTTACTCAACAATAGATAATTAATACAAGGGATAAGGCTGGTGTCCATGTGATTCACTGGAATTTACTTGTACACCAACACCTGGAGCAATTGACCTTATGGAATAGAGAAATGGTCTTTTAAAGACTCAGTTTGGGCACCAGTTGAGGTTACCTTGTGAGGTTAGGGTGCTGTTTTACAGGATACAATGTAAGTTTCATACTAGTGGACAATATCTGCTGAAATTTCTACCAACCAGGAATTTATGGGGCAAGGAAACAAGAGGTAAAAGTGGGCACTACTTTTTGTAATACCTAATGATCTACTTGCAAAATTTTACTTCTTATCCCAGGAACACTGGGCTCTGAAGAGACTTCTTGCTGGTCAATTTGGGCTCAATTTGCTGCTGGATGAACTGACCAAAAAAAGAGAGTCTAATATTGTTATGACTTTGACTATGACTAAAAAATAGTTTTGCTGTTACACACTGGTAGCAGAGAGGATTATGGATGGAAAGATCTCCTGGAGTGGATTCTGGAATGGCCATGTCTTCTGATGGCAGCTAATGAAAGACTAGATCATCTTATTTGGGCAGGATTGTAAGGAGGTCAAATCTCTCCAACATGAAAGTTCGGGTTACTATATCGATTTTTAAAAACTTGAACAGCTGAGATGCTGGCTAAAGACAAAGGGAACATGAATTAGATTGCAGATAAGGAAAATTATTAATATCAACTAAGGGTTCATGGCTACCTGTGGAAATGAAGACTACAATGTGCAGTCATATTTTCCTCCTTCTTTTGTTATGTGTCTATCTCTCTATTGTTGCCAGCTAGCTTTCTTCCTTTCTCTGCCTTTGTCCCTCTGTTTTACATACACATAGGATATGTAGTTATTGGTTAGCTTTCAAGTTTGATTTAGAAGTAATAGAATGTCATGATGGGAACATGATTGGAGTAGCCGAGATCCTGGTTATAGACCTGGATACAGTAACTGATGGGCCTGAGTTGTTCCCATATTGTGAGAAATATAGTTGTGTTATGTTAGGCCAGATAGTGTCTCTCCTACTGAAGCATAAATTGGTAAGAGGGATATGTGTTAATGTGTGCAACCAGAGGGGTGGATTCTGGTGGGCGTTTATCGTCCTTTTCTGACTTCCCAAATTCTGTAACCCTTCTAAAGCTTAGGTAATTTCCTACCTCATAATTTTGGTTGAGAAAAAAAGCCAACTTCTTCCTCCGTAACAGGAACACCCTGAATAGTTATCTCCCAAGTTCTGACCCAGGGGTTAGATCCTTATACTTAGTCATCATTGTTGGGTCCACAGGGACCAGGAAATAGATGGGACAGTTATTTTCCACTTGTCTCTGATGAGGCTTTCAGGGAATCTGGTCCCAGTGGCCATGGAAGCCACTGTAAATACCTGTTTCTAATTCCCCTAAACATCCTTCTCTGTGCAGAGGGCTAGACAATGAATTCTGCGTCTCACTCACTCAGGATCTATCAATATTTCCAATACTTTCCAAACCTTATAATAAAAAAGAACATTGGTTGGTTCCTCAGAGGTGAAGAAACCTTGCTATCCACAGTACCAACTTCTTCTAGGTAAGATTATAACAGGAGATATATATATATATATATATACATACATATACATACATATACATATACACACACATATATATTTTTTACTAATGAGTGAAGTTATTTATATGTATAGTTACTAATGAGGGAGGTTCTTTGAAGAACCTCCTTTGTTAAATCTTCCAGATGCAGGGAATGATAGAGTCCTGAATCCATCACCTGGAGCTTGAGATACACTGATAATAATCAACTGTTTTACTTGTCTCTGTAAGCTACTAAGAAGTGGGAGAAAGCCTGGGAATGTTAAAAGAGACATACATACATAGAGACATACATGGCAGAGAAGGGCTTTGTTTGTGTCTGTGTTTGTTTTTATTTTTGACAAAATTTTAAAGATTAGTCCAGTGGGACCACCGTCATCTAGGACTGGGAGTTGGAAGTTGAAGGTGTAGAGACTAGGGGTGGATCCTGACTGAGCAATTCTAATATAGGTTTCATTAACATGACCGTGTGGGTGGAGCTTGGATTGTTGTATCCAGAGCCATAGCTTCTAGGTTTCTGAGCTCTGCTTCTGTTCCCTGCATCTGCATCTAGCTCATGAGAGGGACAAACCAGTCCAGTGTTTCTGAGTTCCTCCTCCTTGGGCTCTCCAGGCAACCCCAGCAGCAGCAGCTCCTCTTTGTACTCTTCCTGAGCATGTACCTGGCCACGGTCCTGGGAAACCTGCTCATCCTCCTGGTCATTGGCGTGGACTCCCGCCTTCACATCCCCATGTACTTCTTCCTCAGCAACCTGTCCTTTGTGGACATCTGCTTCTCTACCACTGTCCCCAAGATGCTGGCCAACTACATACTCAGGACTCAGACCATCTCCTTTTCTGGGTGTCTCACACAGATGTATTTTGTATTCATGTTCATGGACATGGACAATTTCCTCCTGGCTGTGATGGCCTATGACCGCTTTGTTGCCATATGCGCCCCCTTACACTACTCAACAAAGATGACCCACCAGCTCTGTGCCCTGCTGGTTGCTGGGTCATGGGTCATTGCCAACCTGAATGTTCTATTGCATACCCTGCTGATGGCTTGACTCTCGTTCTGTGCAGACAATGCCATCCCCCACTTCTTCTGTGATGTGACACCCCTCCTGAAACTCTCCTGCTCTGACACACACCTCAATGAGATGATGATTCTTTTCGAAGCAGGGTTGATAATGATCACTCCATTTATTTGCATCTTGGCTTCATATGTCCGTATTACCTCTGCTGTCCTAAGAGTCCTGTCTACAAAGGGAAAATGGAAAGCCTTCTCCACCGTGGCTCCCACCTGGCCATGGTTTCTCTCTTCTATGGCACCATCATTGCTGTGTATTTCAGCCCTTTGTCCTCACACTCTTCTGAGAAGGACACCACAGCTACTGTGATGTACACCGTGGTGACCCCCATGCTGAACCCCTTCATCTACAGCCTGAGGAACAAAGACATAAAAGGGCTCTTGGAAAAGTGGTTGCTATGACATTTTTTCTACTTCGTAATGAAATGGGCTAAGAAAATCTTGGAAGGAACTAATTTCTAAGAAGATCATATTTGTTTTTTCTATTGTGCACAACTTAGCCATTTGTCATTGAAAATTATTCTAGTTTCTGTCTTGGGACATCAAACTTGATATAGCCACTTCAGGTTAAAGGTGGAAAGAGAGATCGTTTTACCAAATCACCTGTTAGAACTGCCAGTGCCCTCCAGCCAAAACTGACTAGGAATATATATATCTTGTTGAATAATTCTGGTTTATTAGGCTCACAAAGGAGAATACATACCATGGGAAGTAGTGAGCATCTTAGTAAGAAGGTGCTACACAGGACATACTAAAAGACTTGAGTTTGTGTGAGGTGAATTTAGTGAGGACTTAAAGAATTGGGTCTGTGCTCTGGATTACATGTGTCACATAGTGGGGATGATTCTGATTGAGTATCTGAAAATATTTTATCGAGGAGGGGCGCCTGGGTGGCTCAGTTGGTTAAGCATCCGACTCGATTTCCGCTCAGGTCATGATCTCAAGGTTGTGAGATCAAACCCTGCATTGGCCTCTGCACTCCATGGAGAGTCTGCTTGAGATTCTCTCTCCCTTTGCAACCCCCCCCCCCCCACTCTCTCTCTCTCAAAAAAAAAATTTATCTAAGAGGAGGGAAGACTAGACTAAGGCCAAAGCTGTGATTGGCAAAGAAGTAGTAGTGACTCATATCAGCCAGGATAGGGGGGAGGAGTTTGGTTATTTTTGTGGCTTGGACAGTGTTCGCGTTTTTGTGTTCAGTTATGATTACAGAGTCGTCTCTTTTTGCGCCATAACAGTCACAGAATGACCTTGTGTGGTACTGATAGTTTCTGTGTTCATTGGGAGAGCACCGACAGCTAGCTGTGAATGCCAGGAAATCTCCTGTATGTCAGCGCTGATTTCTCTTTCTCACAACAGAGACATAGAGATAGGAAGACATCTTACTGGAGAGCCAGACTGGCAGGAAAGGGAAGGGTTCATTTAGGGCTCCAAGAAGCCCTAATTTTGCCATGCATTCAAGGAATTATTTTTTATCTTCTTACCTGAGCTTTCTGTGTCACACAGCATTACAGTAGGAATATGGGTAAGTTAAACAAATATCTTCCAGAATCTCAGCCATGTCAATCAACTGCATCTTTTTTTCCACGGCCTGCCTTCAATTTATGTCAGTGCAGAGATATTTTACGTAGTTACTAATTTATATCCTGATTTTCTGCTATAATTTTGTAATAAAGCTTTTCTAAATTACTATATCATCCCCACAATTTTATTTTACTATACTTATATATTTCTATCAAGTTGCTCTAGGAAAATATGCTGCCTATTAATTCTGTTTCTAAAATAAAACATAAGGGAGGGATGCCTGAGTGGCTCAGTCGGTTAAGTGGCTTCCTTCACCCAGCGTCCTGGGATCGAGTTCTGCATTGGGCTCCTTGCTCAGCGGGGAGCCTGCTTCTCCCTCTACCTGCCGCTCCCCCTGCTTGTGCTCTTTCTCTCTCTCTCTCTGACAAATAAATAAATAAAATCTTAAAAAAAATGAGGGAAATATACTATTTAAAAGTATAACTAAATTTACTTTGAAAATGATTGCAGAACATAAAAATCTGACCAACATACGAAACTGGTTAAAACATCACTAACAGGATGCTCTGGATTTTGAGGAACAAAGAGGAAAATAGTGTAGTTTCCCTTAATTTCAGAGAGATAGGTAAAATGACATCTTGTATAAAACAGAATTCAGAATCAGAGGATGTTTCTGAGTTTAACATGTGATTTTTATATTTGTCATATTTGTGTATTGATATGCTTGCCTAATGGAATAAATGGTAACATTTCAATTTTTAGTCTATATATCCAAGAATTCTTTGTAAGATAGAAAGTACCTGTTCCTTGAAATTTTGAAAGAAACCAGCTTTTGTTTCATGTATTTTGGTGCTGTCTTGTTAAATGCATATATGTTTATAATTGTATTTATTCCTGTTTTATCCTTTTATCAGTATAAAATTTGTGGGCATAGAGTTATTCATAATGTTAACCTTAAAAGTAAAACTGTCAGTTATTTTACTAGCAAAAATGGGTTTATTTGGGAATAGGAGAGAATTGTAATTTGGGACATGCTAGCAGTGGCAAAACCATAGGCAATCCCTGAAAACGAAGTAGAGGACTGCTCTTTTATAGAGAAAGGCGGGGAGTTGGGAGGGGCTGTTATAAGTGAAAAGTCCATTGGAGTTAACTGGGAGTCCCAAAGTGTAGTGCCTCCTCATTGAGTTGTGACTGTCATTGTCTGGGTTATTGCTGGGCCAGGAGAAAACCTTTCTTTCTCCTGCTGAGGTAGTCAAGTAGTATCTACTCAAAAAGCTTCTGTTCCTGGGCGCCTGGGTGGCTCAGTTGGTTAAGTGACTGCTTTCGGCTCAGGTCATGATCCTGGAGTCCCGGGATCGAGTCCCGCATTGGGCTCCCTGCTCAGCAGGGAGCCTGCTTCTCCCTCTGACCCTCTCCCCTCTCATGTGCTCTCTCTCTCATTCTCTCTGTCTCAAATAAATAAATAAAATCTTTAAAAAAAAAAAAAGCTTCTGTTCCTGTTGGGTCTGTAAATGATGAGGAGTGGTAGGGTGTGAGAGCTCCTCCTTCTGGTCTCCCCACTCCATTTAAAGTGACGTTTCCTGGGGTGCATGAGTGGTGTAGTCATTTGAGTGTTGGACTCTTGATCTCAGCTCAGGTCTTGATCTCAGGGTCCTGAGTTCAAGCCCCATGTTGGGCTCCATGCTGGATGTGGAGCCTACTTAAGAAAAAAATAAAGTTTCCCTTATTTTCACAATAATATTCCTTTAGTGTCCTTTTTAGGTCCAAAGGATTCATAGTGATGACCCCTTTTTCATTCCTGGCAGTAGTATTAGTGCCATTTCTCTTTTGTTCGTTAGCTTGGCTAAAGGTTTATCAATTGTATTGAACTTTTCTAAGAATCAGCTTTTGATTTTGTTGGTTTTCTCTATTGACTTCCTGTTCTTAATTTCATCGATTTCTATTGTTGTTTTTTTTTTAAAGATTTTATTTATTTATTTGAGACAGAGAGAATGTGAGAGAGAGAGCACATGAGAGGGGGGAGGGTCAGAGGGAGAAGCAGGCTCCCTGCCGAGCAGGGAGCCCGATGTGGGACTCGATCCCGGGACTCCAGGATCATGACCTGAGCCGAAGGCAGTCGCTTAACCAACTGAGCCACCCAGGCACCCTATTGTGTGTTTTTTTTAAATGGATTTTCTTCTGTTCACTTTGGATTTAATTTCCTCTTCTTTTGTAGATCTCAAGGTAGAAACTTAGATTATTGATTTTAGATCTTTCTTTTCTAATATATGCATCCAGTGCTAAAAATTTCCCTCTAAGCATTGCTTTCACTGCATCCTACAAGTTTTGGTAAGTTGTATTTCCATTTTCATTTAGGTCAAAATATTTTTTAATTTCTTGAGATTTATTCTTTGACCTGTTATTTAGAAGTGTGTTGTTAAATTTCCACAAATATTTTGGTATTTTCCAGTTATATGTTATTAATTTCTGGTTTAGTTTCACTGCGATCTAAGAGCATACTCTGTATGATTTCTATTTTTTAAAATTTGCTAAAGTGTGCTTCATGGCCCAGATGTGGTCCATCTTGGTGATGTTTCACATGCACTTGAGAATGTGTGTTCTGCTGGTGTTGGGTGAAATACTCTATAAATGTTCAGTGAAGTGTTGGAATTGAAACTGGAGTGGGCTCAGGTGAGAATGGAAAGAGGGGCGCCTGAGTGGTTCAGTTGCTTAAGCATCTGCCTTTGGCTCGGTTCATGATCCCGGGGTCCTGGGATCAAGTCCTGCATCAGGCTCTCTGCTCAGTGGGGAGTCTGCTTCTCCCTCTCCCCCTCCCCCCCTGCTCTCTCAAATAAATAAAATCTTTCTAAAAAAGAGAGAATGGAGAGGATGAGACCCACCCAGCCAACTAAGATAAAAGCATTGCTTTTTATTAGTTATGTATTATACATATTTATTCATTTAGGTTGTATTTAATTTTCAGTATTCTATTTTTCCTTATATTGAGAAGATAAATTGATGGGACACGTAGTTTTTTTTAACATTGTCACAATAGATGAGTGCTAATATTCCCCTTTTGCCAAGCCAAACATATACACACACATGCTGCTCATTTAATACACCTAAGATGACATTTTGTTCTTCAAATTTATAATTCTTAGATTACTAGTAAGCCTGAAGATTCTTTCATACTTCTCGTAGCCATTCAAGCTTACCTAAAAATTGTCTGTTCATGTATTCTTATTGAAATATCCCCTTGCTGCCCCCTTCCTCCACTATCTCATCCATCTGGTCTCAGTGTAAAGGCCACTTCCCGAGTCCTACAGGAAAATCCACCTGTAACACTCTTCTAGAATCCTTTGCTTCCTAGCACTTGTCAATGTGGAGCTGCATATGTATTCTTTATTTTAATGAATTTCTATGTCCCCTCTCCCCCACCTCCCACCTTAAGAAATTCCATGGGTATGTGGCTTCCTTTTACAGCCCAGGGCCTTGTGCTGCATCTTTAGGGGATGCATGCCTTCAATTTGTAGTTGCTACTGGAATCGGATTATCTGGTCCTTCAGATGTTCTGACCCTTGCTGCTCTATTGGAAGACCATTCATTGTTGTGTGCTGTTTTTCATTAACTGGTTGTCAGCTCCTTATTGAGCACTTTCTCATCTAACATCTTCCCAGTGTACTCCTGTTTGGGGATGCTGACCCTGGGCATCCTGCTCTGAGCTCAAGGGTAGGAGTGAGGAACATTCTGTTCCAGACCCTCTGGGGTCCAGGGGGTAGGTGCAGGGAAGTCAGGCGCCCAGGCCCCAGCCTTGGGGACAGTAGTTGCCAATGACTTTGACTGCACGGGTCCTCATCTGCACCACAGCCCAGGGCACTGAGGGCACAGAGGGCACCTCCTGGTGTGGGGAGGGGGTTTGCGTCGTGGGAGTATCACACACCGAAAGGCCTTGAGGACTGTGTGGTCAGACCTTTTCATAGGGGACAGAACAGTCTTGCCCCATGGACCCCACCCTCTCCAGTCACTGCTTGGCAGCCAATTAGTCTTTGTTTTCTAGGTGTGATAACCAGGCAGACCCCAGCCAGTCTTCTCAAGAAGTAAGAGAATAACATTGCTGGCAGCCAGTTTTGTCCCTGTTTTTTAAAGGGTACTGTAGGCTCAAAATACAAAGTTGATAAAGGACAGTTTTTATGTGCCCTTTAAGTGTTTGAATTAGGACTCAGGACTGAACTGTATCATCCAAGGTCCTTTTTTAGTATGCTTCGAACCAAAACAAAGCTTAGAACTACATGTTTAAAAAATAAAAAAGAACAAAACTATTATTTGTGGGTGGTATAATTTTGAACCACAAATTGAGAAACTGAGAAATTACTGAAGATTAACAACATTCAATGAGGTGGCTAGTTTCACAAATATATAATTAAAAATAACTCCTATAAGAACAATAATCAACTAGAAAAATACAATGAAAAAACTATTTACAATAACAAAATTGTATAGAATTTACATGAAGAAAATTAGAAAAATTTACTCAGGAATATAATACTTTAAAAAATGGAAAGGCATGTTTCTGGATGGGAAACAAAATTTATAAAGCTAACATGTTTTCTCAGACAGTTTATAGGATTAACCTATTTCAATCAAACTATCAATGTAAATAAAGCCTTAGGAAACATAAAAAAAAAAAAAGCAAAAACTGATAAAAAATCTTTAAAATAACACACCACAGGATCGGTCCCGTGAAGGCACCGCTGGCCTTGCCTCTGGGCAGACAAGTCAGGAAAGTCTGGGTATCAGGCGAAAGAACAAATATCCACTACAATGAAGACTCTGGAATCTTGTCTCCATGAGGGGCAATGTGAGCTAGCCACTGGAGACAACTGCTAAAAATAAAACACTTTGCTTGTGAGGTAGTGACCACCCATTGCCAAGGGTCTGATGACTGCTTGGAGGGGAATTAAGCACATGGTAAGGTTATTAACCAGTCATGGGTCTAAGCCAATGTCTTCATCTTCCTCTTCAGGCTCTTGGATTTCTTTTATAGGCAGGTTTTCTTCTTGGCTCATCAGAGGGACAAGATTCTGAAGAGCTTTTCCAGTAATGGGGCTGGGTGGCTGGGCCTGAGCGCCAAACTTCTTTTGGCAATGGAAAGGCATGAGAGAGCTGTCTAAGCAATAGCTGGACAAAATACAGTAAGAACAGTAGATACTTTAAAAGTATGTTGTGAAAAGTATTCCTGTAAAAGTCACTTTCACTACAAAATGCAAATGTTACTGAGATCAATTGTTTAGATCACATAAAAATGACAGAGTAAGTCTTTGACATTCAATCGCTGTATTTTCCTATATTCCAGAGTAAACAATCCCTTTCAACACTCAAGCTTTAACAGGGTATTCTTAGAAGGTTATATGAATTGCTAACAGAAGCTATTGGCTTAACAAATCAGTAGTTTGGTTCTTTCAGGGGAACACAGTTCCAGATAAGGACCTTCACATTATATTTTTTGTCTCAAGTGTGAATTCCTATGTGGGGGAAAAAATGGGTATGCTTTCCGTATACATTGAGTCACTCTGTTCACCTTGCAGGTGAGTGGCCTCCAGACTCATATTCAAAGCCATTTTGGGAAAGGGGTCTGTGGCTTCTACACTGTTGTATAAAGCTCCTTAATCCTGGATGCTAACTGAGGTATAGCCCTTGAGGATGTTTTCTTCCCTGTGAATCTTCTAAAAATTTGAGGTTTTAGCCAAGATGGGTATTTTATCCAATTTTGGCTATAATGAGGTTTTCACATATCTGTATATTTTCAGACAGCCTGGGAATTCAGAATTCCTTATGAAACATTTCAGGTTGAGGCAGGATCATCAGACTTTTCTTGATCCCATTTCTGCTTTTGGGTCTTACATGCTGAGTGGGTTTTTTCATGCCGGGTACAGTTGGACAGCCGACTAAATCTTCTCCCACATTTTTTGCAACTATATGGCCTTTCAGCCTCATGACTCTGCAGATGAAGCACAAATTCTTTGTTCTCTGGGAAGGTTTTCCCACATTCTGGACACTTAAATATCTTCTCCCTTATATGGATTCCTTCATGGCGACTCCGATGAGAGTTTTGACGAAAGTTTTTCCCACACTGAGAACATGAATAAGGTTTCTCTCCTGTATGGATTCGCTCATGTTTATTAAGGTTTGTTTTATGATTGAAGCTTTTCCCACAGTGACTACAGTCATAGGGTTTTTCTCCAGTGTGAGTCCTCTGGTGGGAAATAAGGTAAGAACTTTCATTAAACTGTTTCCCACACAGCGGGCAGGTGTACCATCTTCTTGTTCTCCGATTTCGGCTAAGTGCAATCACATTGATATCCACGTATTTTGAGAGTTCCTCTAGTGGAGTATCATTTTCAATGGTAACTAGAAGATTTCTCATTTTCCTTTGCTTGGGAATAGATGTATTTAGTCTTTCTTTATGGCAATCTGGTGATTCCTCAGAGACCACAGAATAATCTACTTCATCACAATCTGAAGTCTCCTCTCTATGATCTTCATTCTCTACAGTTTCCTTCTGAAGATCTTCACTCTCAGGATTAATGTCATTAACTGTGGAAACAAAGAGAATTTAGCAACTTTTGAGGGATATGACACCAGGCAGGAAAAAAACAAGTTAGATTTCTCATCAAACAATAATCTTGAGTGTCACAAATCTGAGGACTAGCAGATAATCATTATCAACACTCCTTTTCCACTCTTACTGTGAGTGGAATATATGACTGGTAAATCTTTCTATGCAATGTGAGCACACAGTCTTTTTCTTTTTTTTTTTTTTAACAAAATGAGTGGGACTACCGATGTCATATGTTTGCTTTCTGAATAGGCACTAATTACTCAAAAAGTGCATATTGATCTTATTATATCTGTGTAGAGCAGTGAGCTAAGGACCAAGGGATGAAGGACATAAATACTAAAAAGGGTACCACTCATACTCTTTAGGAGGCTAGTAAGTGAACAGTAAGATGAGTTATTTCTAGGTTTTCACTACATTAAATATTACAGTATTATAGGATTAGATAATACCATATGGTGTCCTATACTATATAGTCCTATATAGTGAAAAACTGGCAACAATTCAAATGACCAAAAATAATGAAGGCATATCATATTCACTCAGTGGGTGATTATTTGGGCATTACAGTGATTACCACAAATAACAAAATTATAAATTATGGTAGAAAACAATGTGGTATTTTTAGGGGAGGAAGGGGAGAAGTAATTGGGCAGTGGGCACAAGACGGCCTTCTGGGGTGCAAGGAATAGTCAATTTGAGTGGTGGTTAGACAAATGTGTACATTTTGTGAAAATTGGAGGGGAACACTTATGATTTGTAGACTTTTCTGTATTTATACCTCCAAAAGAAGTCTGTGTGAAATAAAGAGATTATAAAGACTAGGTAACAAAGTGTAAAAAAAAAAAAAAGTATGCCGTGAAAAGGTGGGGTGACAAGGGACCTCCAAAACTCTGGGCAACTTGCTGAAAATAAAGGGTTAAATCGACCACTTCAGTATGTGGCTGATCACAGCCTGGAATATGCATATTTGCTGGACTTTGCAGTTTCACACCAAAAGGCGTTTTCTTTTTCATTCACTCCCTTAGGTAATGAAATGCTGGGTGAAAGCAAACGGCAATAATTATCACAGCTCTTGATAGAGATTACCACACTTCTTTCAAAAGACGCTTACCAATTTTAATACTACCATCAACATGTGGGTATCAATTTTACCTAATCTTGCCAGCATTAGATTAAACTTAAAAACATTTAATGGGTATAAAATGGTTTTTCATTGTAGTTTTTTTTGTACTTTGTTATTACAAACTAGTAATTTATTGGGCTGAGACTTTTATAAATTTAAATAAATTTTACATCTTGCAAATCAATCTGTGTCAATCACTACTGATGTAAATATTTAACTGAAGTCTTCCTCTGTAACTCCACAAATTAACCATAAAAAAGTATCAAAATCTGATAAATTTTCTATTTTCTAGCCATTCCTTTATAACTTATATTTATACTTAACTCCTTTTTTTTTTTAAGATTTTTTTTTTTTTTAAAGATTTATTTATTTGACAGAGAGAGACAGAGAGAGAGGGGGAACACAAGCAGGGGGAGTGGGAGAGGGAGAAGCAGGCTTCCCGCGGAGCGGAGAGCCCGATGTGGGGCTCGATCCCAGGACCCCGGGATCATGACCTGAGCCGAAGGCAGACGCTTAACGACTGAGCCACCCAGGCGCCCCAGATTTTATTTATTTATTTGACAGAGAGAGACAGCGATAGAGGGAACACAAGCAGGGGAATCAGGAGAGAGAGCAGGCTTCCCGCTGAGCAGGGAGCCCAACACAGGGCTGGATCCCAGGACCCTGGGATCACGACCTGAGCCGAAGGCAGACACCTAATGACTGAGTCACCCAGGCGCCCCTGTGGTTTACTATTTTATAGCCATTCTGAATGACAGCTTCCATCATTTTGTGTTAATTTAAGAATGCTATTGTTAAACATTCCCTATCTACCTACTTTAAAACTATTAAAGATGTTTTTGTTGATCCTTTTAGATTTTCTAAGTACAAACCATATTTTGGTTCCATCCCTTCCCAGTATTTATTCTTTTTAAAGATTTTATTTATTTGAGAGAGACAGAGATATCGACAGAGATAATGAGAGAGAGCGCAAGTGGGCATGACAGGGCGAAGTAGGCTCCCTGCTGAGCAGGGAGCCCAACGTGGGGCTCCATTCCCGGATGCTGGGACCATGACCTGAGCCAAGGGCAGATGCTTAACCCGAATGCACCACTCAGGCACCCCAATATTTAAGCTTCTTAACTTATCTTTTTGCTTTATCCAGTTGATGATTTTAATAGTGATAGCAGGTTTCCCTATTTTGTTTTTTTTTTTCTTCAAGATTTTATTAATTTATCTGAGAGAACGCACGTGTGTGAGAGAGCATGAGCGGGGTTGGGGGGGCTGGGAGGGGAAGGGACAGAGGGAGAGGGAGAATCCCAAGCAGGCTCCATGTCTAGTGTGGAGCCCAACTTGGGGCTTGATCTTACAACCCTGAGATCATGACCTGAGCTGAAATCAAGAATTGGATGCTCAACTGAATGAGCTACCCAGATGCCCCAGTGTACTAATTTTTAAGATTAAAAAAATTTTAGTAGCTAATATATGGTTCATATGGTTCAAAAATCTAAATATGAAAAGGTATATGCTAAGAAGTCTTACTCCAGTTCCTGTCTCCATCCATTCTACTCATCGCCCAGATAGGTACCAGTTTTTATTAGTTTCTTTTTTTTCTTCCATGGTTTCTCTAGATGATAGATTTTCCTTTCTCCCCTCTTCTTATATAACTTACTTGATTTTGATCATTATATTCCAGTGCATGGCGATTACCATGGTATGCTGTGTGGACACATCATATCCAACTAGTCCCCTTCAGAGACACTTGGATTGTTTTCAACCTTGTGTTTTCACAAACAATACTACAATGAATAACCTCATTTGCATATTATTTTGAATGTATGCTGTTATCTGTAGGATAGATTCTCAGAAGTGGGACTGCTGGATCAAAGGTAAATTCATCTTTAATATTAGATTCCCATATATAGGGAGTGTACCAGTCTGTATGTCCACCAGTATTATACCTGTATCCCAACAACTTCACTACCAATGTATTAAGTTTCTGATTTCTAGAAATCTGATAGATGAAATAAGATGGTAACTTGGTATAAGTTTAATCTGCATTTCTAATTATGAGTAGGGCTGGACATCTTTTCATGTATTTATGGGTCATTTGTATTCCTAAGTGAATCTGCTGGGGCTTTTTCTTGGTGTGCAAAGTAGGGTATGATTTGCCAAATGGCTGAGTTGTCCCAGCACCTTTATGAGCCCCTTCCTCTCCACTGCTCTTCTTCTCAATTTTCCTGGTTACTCATATTTATTTTTCCAATTGAATTAGAGATCAGATTGTCTAGTTCCAGGGAGAAAAATCCTGCTGGTATTTTTTAAGGGATTACATTCACTTCATAAACCGACTTGGGGAGAACTGACGTTTTAATGTTAAATTTTACTAGTCAACATGGTATTTCTTCCCATTCATTCAAATCTACTTCTGTGTTATACTCTAGGTTCTGAAACAGGGTATATGCTAGGAAAATTATGTAATTTTTTAAAATTTATTTTTCTTTAAAGATTTTATTTATTTATTTGAGGGAGAGAGAGGGAGGGAGGGAGAGACAGCAAGCAAGCACAAGCAGGGGGAGAGGGAGAGGCAGGCTCCCTGCTGAGCAGGGAACCCAACACGGAGCTCAATCCCAGGACCCTGGGATCATGACCTGAGCTAAAGGCAGACTCTTAACTGACTGAGCCACCCAGGCACCCCTAGAAAAATTGTGTAATTTTAATTTGTATTTCCCGTGACCCAAGGTTACTTAATAGTTTAAACATTTCTTGGTGAAGGGAACTTTTTTTTCCAATTTCATTATTACTTTCTCGTTGTACTGCACTGTGATAGATCCTATTGTGTTATTTCTACTTTTTAGAATCTACTGAGTCTGTCTTTGTTGTATAGTATGTAGTCAATCTGCATCAATCTTGAAAAGGCTTATATTCTCTTAGCACAGTAGAGGGCAGATATAACCACAGAAACTTATCTCTTTGAAAATTTAAGTGTTCTATTCTACATTTTCAGTTGTTTTATGTGATTCACTTGAACTGAGACACACAGTTTATCCTCCTCTGCCAAGGATTCTCCTGTGATTTCTGTTCCCACAAGTTCATTCCCTTACACTTTTCCCTTTCCAAACTACTTAATGTTACTATTTCAAATGTCAGCTATATACTGATGGCTCCCAAATCTCTACATCTTTACATGTGACCTCCAATTCCTAATATTCAAGTGCCCAGAAAATAATCTCACTTTATTTCCTATCATGCATTCAATCTCATCTGAAATCAAATCTATCTTCTTCCAAACTCTGCTCCTGGGTCCAAGTCCTATCTTGACCTTGTCATAGCCTTTATAGCTACAATGGTTTCATAATGCTTATCTTTTTATGTGAATGACTTATCTTTTAAAAACAAATTGGAAGCTTTAGAGGGCAGGAATGGGGCACTATGTATCATTTTAACCCACTGATAATCAACTCCAGAATCCAACTCTACCTAAGGACACAGCAAGTAGCATTTATTAAATGTTGGTTTAAATCATCAGCTTTCGGGTATGGGTGAGGATTGGGCCTGAGAGCTTCAAGGTCCATGACCAAAGTGTTCCTGGAATTGGCAACATACCCACCAACCAGTCACCTAAAATATATGCTAATTTTACCCAAGACTGAGAAAAACTCAGTGTAATAAATCTGATCTGTTTATGCTTATCTCTAAAATAAGAAAATATTAGGGTTGCCTGGCTAGCTCAGTTGGTAGAGCATGCTTCTTGTCAGGTTGTAAGCTGGAGCCCATGTTGGGCGTAGAATTTACAATAAATAAAAAAATAATAAATAAATGTGTGTACACACACACATATATATACATATATATAATATATAAAATCTTAAACAAATATTACATAAAATAACTTGTGGGAAATTAAGCAGGCTCTCTATGTACCACACTACCCTGACCACACAATGTAAGACAACTACGGAGTTCAACACTCATGGATTTGATTTTTGTTACCCCAGCAACTCACAAAACCCACTTTCTGTTCCACTTCAGCCTCAGAAGCAAACAGCCCTGAAGGCAAAGTAAAAAGTATTAGGCACTCAGCAAAATGATTTTTGAGGGTTCCTGACTCTAGGTTAGCAGTGCATTCGTAGAAAAAGGCTGAATCATCTCTTAGCTTACAGAGAAGCTGCTGCCAGATGAGTTCATATGTAGTTTCATATAAGAATACTTTTTAACCATTACTGGGAAATAAGCACAAATGAAGAAGGCCCCATTCACCAACCATATAGGCAATTCACTGAAAAAGTTATGAGAAATGCAGCAAGAAGGCAGTATAATTCTGGGCTAAGACTGAAAGCTCTGATGTTAGACTCTCTGAGTCCAAATCCCTGCTCTGCTACCTACTGCTGTGTAACATTTAGCAATTTTTCTGTTTTTGTGTGTGGTTTGTTTTTTTTTTTGGTGGGAAAGAAAGCAAAATTTATTGAGCAATAGTACGAGGCTCCTGAAGAGGGAGGGGACCTGAGAGGGTTGCCCGAACTTCAGCAATTTCTTAACATTTTTCTGCTTCAGTTCTGTCATCTGTAAAATAGTAATAATTCCTATTCTACAGTACTTTTGTGAGAAATGTATGTGATAATAAATGCATGCGAAGCACTCAGACTAGTGCCTCGTACATAATGGCACATGGGTGCTTGATAAGTGCTAGATATTATTCCCATCAACATGGGATATATTTTCATTCACACTAGTAGACTTCACAGCTACTAGACATCAAGGGAAAAAAAAGACTTAGAAGAGTCCGGGGTCCAATGAAAACACTAATTTATTTATTTATTTATTTATTTTTTTTTTTTTAAAGATTTTATTTATTTATTCATGAGAGACAGAGAGAGAGAGAGAGAGAGGCAGAGGGAGAAGCAGGCTCCCAAGGAGCAGGGAGCCCGATGCGGGACTCGATCCCAGGACCCCGGGATCACGACCCGAGCCGAAGGCAGACGCTCAACCATCTGAGCCACCCAGGCGCCCCGAAAACACTAATTTAAAATACACCTGTTGGGGCGCCTGGGTGGCTCAGTTGGTTAAGCGACTGCCTTCAGCTCGGGTCATGATCCTGGAGTCCCTGGATCGAGTCCCGCATCAGGCTCCCTGCTCGGCGGGGAGCCTGCTTCTCCCTCTGACCCTCCCCCCTCTCATGTGCTCTCTCTCTCATTCTCTCTGTCTCAAATAAATAAAATCTTTAAAAAAAAATAAATAAATAAAATAAAATACACCTGTTGGGGGACTAGCACTAAATCCAGAAAATGGACTCAGAAACAATCTGCCTGCATTTTCTACCTGTTTGAATATCTGACGTCAGTACATCAGCTGCAGGTCTTGCTTACCAAGACAAGTCTCCTCAGCCCTTGCTGCCCTAAAGATATAGGAAAAATGGCCGCCACAGCTGGTGTAGGCTCTGCCACATGGGATAGAACAAAAATTAAACGTGTGTGACCATATACTTAGCTAGTGTTAATCAGGTCTTTAAAAAGTCCGACAGAAGGGGCACCTGGGTGGCTCAGTTGGTTAGGCAACTGCCTTCGGCTCAGGTCATGATCCCAGAGTCCTGGGATCGAGTCCCGCATCAGGATCCCTGCTCAGCGGGGAGTCTGCTCCTCCCTCTGACCCTACCCCCTCTTGTGCTCTCTCACTCTCTCAAATAAATAAAATAAAATCTTTAAAAAATAAAAAAAATAAAAAGTCTGACATAAGAATGTGCTTTTTCCACAGCATTCAATATGAACACACAAGATTTCTTACCCAGTAACATCATCTCCCCAACATTGTCTTCCTTCTCTGAGGTGGGCTGTTGAGTAGCATCCAGGCTCACACATTCTTCTTGGGAATGAAATATATTCAAATCCTCAAGGACCACCAGTTCCTGAAAGAGCAATAGGCCCCCTTCCTCTTAATAACAGAGGTTCTTTGGTTCTTTGACAGCTCTGCTGGCAAAGAAGACTGAAACCCAACGATCAGGGAAGGGAAGGTGAAAGGGGACTATAAGTTCCACGCAGGTGCAGCATGGACCAGAGAGCCAGACTCAGAGAGGAGCCAAAGGACAAGCAGAAGAGAAATATCCAAGGAGGCAGTGAAAAACAAGCCCACTCCCCTTACTGACTCCCAAGAGTGTGTTTTTATACATGGGTTGGCTGAGCAGGGAGGGCTGAAAGAGCAGAGAAGGTGATGTACTCAAAACAGTGAATGGGAAAACCAAACCCACCTCAGGCTCAGTTTTCAAATACAGCGACACTGTGTCCTGTTTCTGCTGGATTCCTTCTCTGGGCAGAAGCTTCACCATGGGATGAGGTTGCACTGGGTAAAGAGGAAGCTGTAGTTAATGGAAAAATCAGTGACTCTAATCTGGGAACCCTAACCACACCTTAAGGCCTCCCTGTCCTCACTCCTTCCGAAGGCAACTTATGGCTTTTTCTGCTTCTGTGAGCCCAGGAAGAGTTCAAGCCATAAACCACAGGATCTTGAACCTATATAGGGTCTCCTCATTATGAAAAGAATGATTCTCTTAAGAACTTTTAAAATTCCCATTACTACTAAAGGGAAGGCTGGAGGAGGATAATGTCTGAAAATGCCCACAACAAGCACAAAATTTCCAAAATTCCACATAAACTGCAGTCAATTCAACAATTCATCCACATTTCTTTATCCAAAAATGATATACACCCTCCCAACGTTTGGGTAAAACTGACACTGTTTATTCTATGGGTTTACACACACCCAGCAATCCAAACTCCAGCTTGAGAAAAAATACTCCCTCTCCCCAACAGGTTGACACTAGAATCAACTTTTTTCAATACCCACTATCCTAACTTGAATTCATTACTAACATAAAAACCTATTTCAGCCCCTAGTACCATTCCCTTCTCTTCTAGTGAAACAGCATGTGCTTCTTACGTCTGTTCTGAAAGTTTGAGCTCACATCCTTCATAATAACCAAAGTCTCCTTGACTTTCTGATTGGGCTGGACCAGGCTTGGCTTGGGCAAGAAGGTGAGGAAGTGCTCCAGAACCAGCTGGTGGATGGTCTTGGGCCCACTAGTAGCATCTCGAAGTAGGTCTTGGCCCAGCTTGGAGTCCGGAGGAACTCTCAGTATAAAGGACCGCTTTGGCTTTAGGGGCATTGGAACCACTTTTGCAGCCATCACGCCTTGCAATCACACACCACACTCGTTTTGCAGAGCTTCAGGAGTCACCTCTTACTGAAGGAAATCTGTCAGAGAGCCGAGCTGCAGATGAGAGAAACCATGGTTTACCCACAAAACCAGGTCCAATATACGGCCAGGATAGTGAGGCCACATGAAATGTAAAGCGGAAGGAAAGACAAGTTGTGTGAGGAACTCCTAACTGAAACGGAAGGTCGCTGAACTAGACACTCATAGCAAGGCCTGAGAGGAAGCTCTGAGAACGAAAGCCGGAGAATATCCAAACCCCAGGAGTCATTCTCCTGAGAAAGATGAAGTGCAAGCTCCACTGGGAAGAGCAATGGGCTAGAAGATAGGAAACCTGGTGTCCAGTACCAAGGGCATCTGCTTAGAAGTTGGCCTAGCCATTAAATGAAGCCGTACTGCGCACCTTGGACCGCGGGTCCCTCGGATGCCCTTCCGGGGGCAGTTGATGGCTCAAGGAGCAAACGCAAGGCAGCACGATTAGTCCATACGCGGCCTGCTGACTCCTTTCCGCCATGAAAGCCCTGTTGAGAGCGGCGAGGCACCAACAGTGGGGCCCAGCTGGCCAGGCCCATTCCGGAGCCTCTCCCACCGGCCAAGGAGTACCTTTAACACAAAGCCCAGGCGGCGGCATTGCCCGGGGTACGTTCCCGGCTCCCTAGCCGGGCAGGCTCCCCCACCAACGGACCAAGCTCTGCTCCCTAGAGGCCACCTCAGCCTGGTTCCCGCCCTCGCGGAGCCTCTCACCTCTCAGGGGCTCTGCCGCCCCTGGGCGCTCGCAGGGGACGGCCCAGAGACCCCGGCGCAGAGAGACCGGGAAACTAGGCGCGAGAGGCCGAGCCCTCCCCTCGCCCTTCCGAGTGTCCTCACAGGCCGCCGGTGACTATTGGCGTGAGGAACCGTCAGTTGGGGAGGACGGCCGGAACACGGTGCCTTCTGGGAGGCCGGGCGCCTCCGCAGCCGATACGTCACAACCGGTGCCTCGTTTCCGGTTCGGAAGCCTGGTCTCCCAGCTCGGAGCCGTCAGGCTGGGCTTGAGAAAGCGATGCTCGAGGACGACAGGCAGAGCTCTCAGCGCCAGAGGGAGAACGGGCTGGAGGCAACCGCTGTTTCTGTGGCTCTATCTGGGAGACGGAAAGCAGAAATTCAGCTTCAATCCTCCATGACGAGCTGGCTCGTCTCCAGGTACTGGCGGTGTAGCTCCATGGACTGCTGGGAAATGTAGTTCGGCTCCAAACAGCTAATGGGAGGCCGCCGGGCGCGGCGGCTGGGGCGGGACAGCCCCACCCTTACCCCACCCCGCTTTCCCCGGGCTCGACCGGAAGTAGGCTGCCTCTCGGACCGGAAGATCTGCGAGAGGCTGCGGCTGTTTCCGCCGCAGCGTCCAGGGTGTGTCGAAGGACCGCTGAAGCGGTGAGTGGGTGGCGGTTCAAGGTCTATGCCTGGTTCTGGGTCCTGTCACAGCTGTCCCTTCCGGTAAGGGCAGCCCATAGGTCAGAACCGGGCGACCCTTCCCTTCCCCGCTTGCAGGTTTCTACCTTGCGGTCTGAATGGGCCGTCTTGTTTTCTGAGATATCCTAGTGATCCTTCTCCAGTCGCCTTCGTTTCCGTCCTCAGCCTCTCAGGGAGGCCTAACCGCCCTTTCTCCCTGCGTTGTTCCCATACTCGGTTCATTCCCCAGTGAGGCACTGATCAGCGTTGTGACAACCCCGGGGCAGGGATTGCTTTATTGCTTTATGTAACGCCAGCCTCCACCTGGGTGACCAAAGTAAAAATATAAATGGATTTTTTTTTTTTTTTCTTAACGCTAACTATAGGTGACTCATTTAGCCATGGTTTAAAATATGTTACAGCCTAGTGTTAAAACTGTGTGGTACCAAAAGTTTTTCTAAAATTAAGGATACTTGCTTTTCCAGACATCAAAAACCAAAAACAAAGCAAACAATAACAAACTCCTTCAGGGGCGCCTGGGTGGCTCAGTCGTTAAGCGTCTGCCTTCGGCTCAGGTCATGATCCCAGGGTCCTTGGATCGAGCCCCGCATGGTGCTCTCTGCTCCGCGGGAAGCCTGCTTCTCCCTCTCCCACTTACCCCGCTTGTGTTCCCTCTCTCGCTATATTTCTTTCTGTCAAATAAATAAATAAAATCTTAAAAAAAAAAACAACTCCTTCAATCAAAGCAGTATGGTTTGAACTGGAAGTAAATAAATAGAACAGTAGAAAAGAATAGTAAGTACCAAAGTTGATCTGACTGTACATGGACCTATATGAAAGGGTAGCATTTCAACTTAGTGTAAAATAGATGGTGCTAGCAAAAAATTGTCTATTCTTCTGGAAAGGCAGAATGTGTCCTTATACTATATACAAGAAAATGGAATTTGATAACCAATAAGAGAAGACAAAATAATATTAATTTAATGTTGGGGCACCTGAGTGACTCAGTCGGTTAAGCATCTGCCTTCAGCTCAGGTCATGATCTCAGGGTCTTGGGATCAAGTCCCCACATTAGGCTCCCCAGTAATTGGGGAGTCTGCTTCTCCCTCTGCCCCACCCCCACCACCCGCCCCTTCTCATGCTCTCTCTCTCTCTCAAAAATCTTTAAAAAAAAAAAACCCTGATGAGTGGCTAAACAAGATGTAGTATATCCATATAATGGATTATTATTCAGCAGTAAAAAAAGGAATGAGTATTAATACATGCTGCAACGTGGATGGACCTCAAAAACATTATGCCAAGTGAAAGAAGTCTGTCACAGAAGACCACATAGTGTGTGATTCTACTTGCATGAAATGTTCAGAATAGGCAAATCCATAGAGACAAAAAGTAGGGTAGTAGTTGTCGGGCTGGGGGAAGGGGAGAGTGGCAAGTGACTGCCAATGGATGCAGGGCTTGTTTTGAAAATGTTCTGGATTTAGTGGTGATGTTTGTATACATTGTGAATATACTAAAACCCATTTAACTATACACTTTAAAAGGGTGAATTTTATGGTTTGTGAATTATATCTCAATTAAAAAAAGAAACACCAGACAGGGAAATTTTCATTGTACAAATACAAATGTTTAGTATCTAAAATATTTCTGAGGGATGCCTGAGTGGCTTGGTGGGTTAAGCATCTGCCTTTGGCTCCCGTCATTATCTCAGGGTCCTGGGATCGAGTCCTGCATTGGGGTCTGTGCTCAGCAGGGCTCCTGCTTCTCCCTCTGCCTGCTGTTCCCCTGCTTGTACTCTCTCTCTGACAAATAAATAGAACTTTAAAAATAATAAAATACTTTTGAAGAAGTACTACAGACAACTAAGTTCAATATTTAGATTCCGCATAGCAAGTAGTCAAAGAAGCTGTGCTGTTTCTGTGGAATGAAGCAAAAGATAGAAGTCCACATGGAAAATTAAATTCACAGCCTCACTAATTTTAAAACATAGGTAAAACCCCATTATATCTCTATTGAATGAACAAAAAATTTTACTTTTTTATTTTATTTTATTATTATTTTTTAAAAGATTTTATTTATTTATTTGACAGAGAGAGACACAGCGAGAGAGGGAACACAAGCAGGGGGAGAGGGAGAAGCAGGCTTCCCGCGGAGCAGGGAGCCTGATGTGGGGCTCGATCCCAGAACCCTGGGATCACGACCTGAGCCGAAGGCAGATGCTTAACGACTGAGCCACCCAGGCACCCCCCAAAATTTTATTTTATTTTAAGATTTTATTTATTTATTTGAGAGAGCAGAGCACAAGAGGGGGGAGGGTCAGAGGGTGAAGCAGACTCCCTGCTGAGCAGGGAGCTCAATGTGGGGCTTGATCCCAGGACCCCAGGATCATGACCTGAGCCGAAGGCAGATGCTTAACTGACTGAGCCACCCAGGCGCCCCAAATGAGCAAAATATTTTAAATGACAAACATTGCTTTGGGCATAAAACATTATTTAATCTTTCTGAGGGATTGTATAGCCAACTGTAGCAAGTGTTATGAAATAGTTCACATTCTGGAGCCATTTTAGGAATAACAGGAGAAAAGAATATGTGTATGGGGAGGTGGTGGAAAAAATACAGGAAGCTGCTCTTGGAAAGGTTATAGCAAGGGAGAATTGGGAACAGCTAAGCAAATAAAGCACATGAACTCTGTCAGAGTATGGATTATGTTCATAGAACAAAGCTCCATGAAGAAACCAGGGCCACAATCATGGAGAAGCTGAGTCCAGTCTAGACTCTAGTGTGAAGATGGAAAGATGAGTTGGGGTAGGAGGGGTTTGGAGCCTAATCTTCATCTGATTCCTTTTTTCCCCTTACATCCTTTCTCTTTACATCTCTTTAAATGGGGGATGATAGAGGGGATATCTGTGAACTAGAACAGATTTTCAGATACAGATCAGGACAGAATTTTAAAAAATCTGATACTTGGAATATTTGTCAAATGTTTTCCCACTATAGCAGCTCCATCTTTTTCATGGTGTTCAGTAGGGAAATGGGATCTTACAATGATTGACTAAGTGACAACGAATTGAGTGCAAACTGAGTGCAATTATGACCAACTTTTCTAATTGATTTATTTATGATGCCTAGCCAATACTCTTAAGATCCGTAGTTCATCAATCCAGGTACAAAAATATAACAATCCAGTCTGGTTGTTTTATTTCTCAGCTTTGCAAGTCCTTAAGAAAGAGGAGGATGGAATGAAGCGACACATCCTTGCCGTAGAGTTCTGAGGGAAAATGAGGGTGGGATCTCTGCCTTAGGGGCATCTTAGGGTGCTAATTCATACAAGGATTTATTAAGCATCAGCCATGTACTTCTTCCTCTGAGTTGTCATCAGTACATGTGCTCTCTTCACCCTTGGTTTACCAATATTTAGGTACCCAGCTTATTTCTGCTACCATTCCATAGGCTCTTTGTTATATTACCCACAGCAGCTGGAACCCAGTAGGTGTTCAATAATGACAGTTGAGTATACAGATTCAAGATACAAGGCTGGGAGCCAGAAGAGAGATGCAAAGTGTTGGGCATTCAGTGAGGCCCCTGGTCACCCACTGGACAGATGGTTAGAGGATCCGTGTTCTTCCCTCCGTCATGTGTTCCGGGGCTGAACATAGGCTGAAGGGGCCCAGAAGAAGAGAAACTGGTGAATGTGTAGATGAGGGATTTGTATGTTACATTGTAAAAGGAAATTTCTCCAGCCTTGTAGTCCAGGAAGATGCCCACACGTCTGGGGGGTTCCCTTATCTGCAAGCGTGTTGGGGGAATGGTGGACACCTGGTACTCATTCCGCTTCATCATCATCACCACCCAATAGCCATTGTCGGGTGACAGAGTCATGCTCCCTTTCCTGCTCGCGGATGCCTTGCAGATGCCCAGGATCCACCCTGTCTTGTTTCCCACCTCCACTTCCCAGTAATGGCGGCCAGAGAGGAAGCTTGGAAAGCCTAGGGCGATGATGCAACTATCAAATCTTTCTGGATTATCAGGTAGACGATTACACTTGTTTCCAAGTCTCACGCTCTTCAGGTTATTAGAGAAGATGAGGTTGGGGTGGGCAGTTTCTGCATCCAGAATCACATTAACTGCAGAGAGAATTAGAATACCTAGCTGGGGGCTCCATGGGCAGTGTACCCACAGGGTTCTCCCCACCTCCAGGAAACATGGATAGGGACATTCTTCTGGAATGCACTAGAGGTCAGCACAGGGACCCAGCAGGTGAAGTCCACTTGCCTTAGTCTGGGCACTTACCGGCATGTGCCTGAGCGCAAATCAGTTCTGGAACTACAGAGAAAAAGCAGATGTGGGGAAAAACCTGAGTATTCCAATTCAGAGAGGCTAAATGTACCCTGGTCCCCACAACAAGGAAAGACAAGGACCCCTACCCGAGCTCAGGACCTTGCTTCCTTTGCTTGGATTAACCCCATTCCTCATAGACCCTGGAGACTGCCTTGGTGACTCTTTGGTCTGATGAGTTGACCCAGCCAACAAGTCCAGCACAGAGCCTGTGAAGGCTTTCTTCTGCCTTTGTTATAGGTGTTTTTCTCTCTTCTAAATAATGCCCAGAAATCAACAGCATAGGGAATATCACAGTAACCCCTGGCAAGCATTCTGCCATCACCATACTCACAATTAAAGGTGTCCATTTCTGAACGCAGGGTTTCTAAAAGAAGAAGGGGAGCTTGAGTTAGGTTCCCCATCTAGGGACAGATCAGGAAGAGGCTGAAGGCAGCATCAGAAAGGCAGGGGAGTTGGAGAAGGGATGCCAGAAGGGTTTGGGCTACATGGACATCAGGGAGGAAGTGAGCAGGTGACTCCCCTTTTCCCCCAAGCCCACCTACCTGAGAAGGACTTAATGCTCTTCTCCACAAATTCTGATTTCTGGTAGATCAAGTGGATCTTTTTTTCCACCTCTGGAGGAGTGTTCCATGGCTTAGGAACAGTCGCCATCTTGACCCTAGAGACACAAGACTGCTGGCCAGAGAGGGCTGGTGCATGGGGGTAGCCCAAGTTCCCATGAGGTGGAAATGAGGTGCAGGCTCCACAGGGGACACCCAGCCCACTTGGGCTTGGCAAAGAAAGTCCTCTCTGGACTCCGAGTTTTAAACACTGGTTCTCAACTTTGGCCACAGATTGGCATCACCTAGGGAGTTATAAAAACCACTGATATCAAAACCACAGTGAGTTTTAATAGTGGCCTTAAAATGGTGCTAATATTGAAATGCTCAGCCTAGAATTATCTATGTCAAATTAATTATACCTCTTTAGTCCTTTTCTGTTGAAATAAAAATGGTAATAAGAAAAAAACCACAGTGAAATATGACTCATAGGATGGTTATTATTTTGAAAAAATCAAAATGACAGGTATTGGCAAGGATGTGGAAAAATTGGGACCCTTGTGCATTGGTGGTAGGAACGTAAAATGGTACAGACACTGTGGGAAATAGTATAGTGGTTCCTCAAAAAACTAAACATAGAATTACCATATGACACATCAATTCCACTTCTAGGTATATGCCCAAAATAATTGAAAGCAGAAGGGCGCCTGAGTGGCTCAGTCGTTAAACGTCTGCCTTCGGCTCAGGTCATGATCCCAGGGTCCTGGGATCGAGTCCCACATCAGGCTCCCTTCTCGGCGGGAAGCCTGTTCTCCCTCTCCCACTCCCGCTGCTTGTGTTCCTGCTCTCGCTCTCTGTCTCTGTCAGATAAATAAAATCTTTAAAAAAAATAAGTGAAAGCAGAGACTCAAACAAATATATGTACAGCAATATTCATAGCAGCATTATTCACAATAGCCAAAAGGTGGAAACAACACAAGTGTCCATTGATGGATGAAAGGAAAAACAAATTGTGGTATATACATACAGTGGAATATTACTCAGCCTTACAAAGGGATGAAACATTCTATAGTGTGGATGAACCTTGAAGACATTATGCTAAGTGAAATAAGCCAGACACAAAAGCACAAATACTGTATGATTCCACTTATATGAAGCAGTTAGAGTAGTCAAATTCATAAAGACAGAACATAGAATGGTGGTTGCCATTCCTTGCTTCCTGGGTGAGGGGGCAATAGGGAGTTATGTTTTAGTAGTATGGAGTTTCCATTTGGGAGGATAAAAAAGTGCTGCAGATAATAGTGGTGTTGGTTGCACAATAATACGAATGTACTTAATGCCACGGAACTGCACATTTAAAAATGGTTAGAGTGGTAAATTTCATTTTATATGTATTTTACCACCAAAAAAAGAGGGAAAAAAAGTTTATGCTAGGGTCACACTCTTGAAGATTTGGATTTAATTTGTGTGCCAGGGCCTGGATGTCAGGATTTTGTAAAGCTCGTGGGGTTATTGTAATGGCCAGCCTCCTCCCTTCCCTCCCCTTCCTTCCCCTGTCTGGGCTTAGCATCTCCACTCCTAGAAAGTGCTTCTCTCCCTGAGACCATAAGCACTTGTGGCCTCAGGGAGGGAGGCACTTCTGCAGAAACAGTTTTTATGAGACAAATTGCAATCTTTAGGGAGGTTTCTTAGGAACCATCATTAGCACGATAAGCTGTGTTCGTTCTTTCCAGTCTTCAGCCCATGCTGTCTCTCCTGATCACACTCCCATTTTCCCTACACAAATCCAGAAAGGCCTTAGGAAGCTGCAGGAGATAGGAGGAAACCAGGAGGTGTCACAGACCCAGGGTTGGGAGCATCTCCCTCCTAGGGATGCCTCCCCCACTGCTTCCTGCAGGATACCCAAGGGAACACGAGGGGACCTCTCGGTACCTGTACAGGGTGACTCCGATGTCCTAGGAGAGAAAAGAGGGAAGCTCTCCATTACCAGTCTCCTAGGGGCTGCACTGACTCCTGGTCTATCCTCCTGGGCTCACAGCCCTGGGGTGTCAGCAAAACTGGGGCATCTCTCCCCATTCTAATTTTCATCACCCAAAGTGGCAGCCTGTTGGGGCTTGCAACAGAACTGCACCCAAACCCTGCTTTTCTCTTCTGGGAGATGCCAGGGGATCCCTTGAAAGCTGGGCCACCCTGGGCTCCTGACAGCTCATCAAAAGGGTCTGGGCACAAGACCTTTGTCTTGTACTGACTTGGGCAGAGTTAATGGCAGTGCTGGGGAGCCCATGTCATCCTACTGGGCACAGCGGGCAGGGGAAGCCAGACCCAGCCACACTCACCTGCATGAGCTCCCATTCCGGCTGGTACTGCTTGGCCTCCAGCTCCCCAATCAGCTCGTCAAGAAGGGCAATGTCTCTGGATACTTGGGTGCTATATTTCTCCCTGACCTGGCCAATGGTCTGGTTCAGATCCTCTATTGAGGCCACAAAGAGCTTCTCTTGCTGCTCCAGAAGATGGTACAGCTTCTCCAACTGGTGCCGATGTCTCTGCTTCTGGGTTTCAGTTTGTTTCTGGGGGAACAGAAAGGTGTAGGGTCTATCCAGTGTGCTGGGTGTGTGTGCCCAGGGAATCCCAAGAAGCCCACCTCCTGGAGGTGGCTAAGAGGCTGGATCCCTCAGCTTCTCGGAGGACTAGATTTCAGAGAAGGAAACAAAATGGGCCAGAACCTTCCAGAACAGACTGAAGGTGGCAGGGATTAGCTCTTGTAAAATGCCCTAAAACCCAGTATTCTGGGTTGATTTGTATCTCCTCCAAAATTTATGTTAAAGTCCTAACCTCTAGTACCTAAAGAATATGATCTTACTTGGCAATAGCATCATTGCAGATGTAGTTAGTTAAGATGAGATCATACTGGAGTGGGCCACTGGAGTGGGGAAGTTGAGACACAGACACAGGGAGAACACCATGTGAAGAAAACACAGGGAAGAGATGACATCTACCAGCTGAGGGGAGAGGCCTGGAAGATCTCCTTCACGGCCCTCAGAAGGAACCAGTCCTGCTGACACCTTGACTATGGAATTCTGGCCTACAGAACTGTGAAAGAATTTCTTTTTTGCGGTTTAAGCCATTCAGTCTGTGGTGCTCTGTAATGGCAGCCACGGGACACTAAGATATCTGGTGTCATCTTTTTCCTTCCTTGAAAGCCAGTGTGAGGATGACATATGCCTGGGGTTGTAAATGGACAAGGTTATGACTACCAAAGTGTCCAGGAAGGAGGCTTCTCTCTACGTTCCACCAAAGTGCTGGCATGCAGAAGGTCCTCAATGTGGCTCTGAATGAAGGCAGTCAGTCCATTTATGTGACTGTAAGTGAACTTGACTTCTACTACCATTGCACATAGGTCAGCCATCTGGCCCATGTTCTATCCAGAGTTTCTGTGGAAACATGAAGTGGCTGTAGGGAACCTTCTCCTTCCTCCATGGAGGGAGAAGCCCCTTCGAATCTTCTAAGACTGGACTTAGGAAGTCTCATCATTTTGAGCTCTTTAGTGATTTTGAACCAGAAATATTTCCTCACCTTTTGTTGTTGAGGGTGCTAACATTGGCTTTTTTTTTCCTTAAAGAGGACAGGTCAGTTGTCATGTTCAATGGCCTATGTTCTAAAATTGTCTGATAATTTTGATCATGATTAAATTCAGGTTAAGCATCTTAGACAAGAATACCATATTCTTAATGCGCTGGGCTCCCTAGCACAGCCCATGGGGAGGCAAAGAGTGTCCAGTTTGTCCATCACCATTATTGTGATACGGAGATCAGTCACTTGGTTGAGGAGGGGTCTGCCACATCTCTCCAGTGTCAATATATATTATTTCCTTTATAATTACTAAGTAATTGGAGGAGTGGTACTTAGAGGATATCAATATCCTGTTCTCTTATGATCTTCTGTGAAAAATTTTAGCATTTGTTGATGATCTCTGTTGGTGTTGATTGTTATACTGGTGTTTGTATAGTGGGAAATTTCCTTTTTGAGATTTTTTATTTATTTATTTAAGTAATCTCTGCAACCATCTTGGGGCTTAAACTCACAACCCTGAAATCAAGAGTCGTATACTCTCTGACTGAGCCAGCCAGGCACCCCATAACCATTCTTCCATACTTGTTTTAGTTGACATTGTGCTGTAAAAAAGAGTTTCCCCTCCCCCTTCCATATGATTAAAAAATTATATATATATTTTGACTATTGAAAGGAGGATGAGCAGAAGTCTTGAAAACAACCACCTTTCCACGGGGACTCATGTCACTGAGTGTCTTAAGGGAAGACCAGACCTTCTTGTCTCCCTAAGTTTCACTGTGGCCCAGGCTTCTGCCTCACTGTCATGGTGGGGGCATCCCTGACCTCTGCTTCACCCACAAGTTCCGAGCCACCTGGCATTATAGGAAAGGTGTTTTCTTTTTTAGAAAGAGAGAGAGAAAGCTGGTGAGTGCAGGGGAGGGGGAAGTGATGATGGGAAGGGCAGAGGGAGAGGGAGAGAAAGAATCTTAAGCAGACTCCACACCCAGTGTGGAGCCCGACGTGGGGCTCAGATCTCATGACCCTGAGATCATGACCTGAGCTGAAATCAAGTCAGACTCTTAACTGACTGAGCCATCTTGGCGCCCTAGAAAGGGGTTTTCTTTTACTAGACTTCATGAGTTTCCCAAAAGTTAGACACCTGGACCAATGCCATGCCTGCTCCCATTCCTGCCCTTTGTTATCTTTGCCTGTTTCCCATTGTGGTGTGGGAGATGGGATCCAGCCAACAGAAATGGGTCAGACAAATTAAGGCTCTTTGGGGTAGCTGAATTTGCTTGCACGGAAAATGGAAGCAACTTATGTGTCCAGGTTCAACAGAGGAAGGGCAACAAATGTATTTATTGAAATCTGTGGCATCACAAAATGACAGTTTTAAAGAAAATGTCTAACCATTTGAATTTTAAAATTCCATATTAAAAAATAATGGACAACAATTTTAAAAAACCATACAAAGGAGTATTTAAAATGGAAAGTCTCTCCTCCCATTTCCTCAATCCCATCCCTCAGCGACAGCCACTGGTGTTAATTTCTCTAAACCATTTTGTAGTGAATATGAGAAAGCACAGGCTCCTCAGAGATTTCCCTCCCTCCTGAGGGTGGGTCTCCCTCTCCAGGGACAAGCTCATCCTTGGACTCCTGTTACCTCCCTGCCCCCTCAAGAGCAGGTGATTCTAAATAGGTGATCAGTTCTGCTTCTCTGTGAACCAAAACATAATTTGGGGACCCCCTGCTCACTTTTGGTCCCCTCCCTCCTTTTGCAGGGGTAAACTCAGGCAAGGATTGGCCACAGAACACCCCTGACCTTACCAGGAATTTTGCAGTCTTCTTATCCCCCTGAGATCTCTGCTCCTCCCCAGATTTTCTCAACTCCTTCAGATGCTCCAGCTGCTTTTGAATTTGCTCCTGGAAAAGGGGCACTTGTTGAAGCCTAAACTTGGCCTCTGCCATCTTTAGTTGGTGCCAACTCTAGAGGGAAAAAATCTGCTTTAGGGAGTAAAGCTGAGGGTCCTGCAGCCAAGAGCACAGGGATGGTGCCCAGGAAAGGAAGAATGAATCCATCACACCAAGGGAAGCAGATCCAAGAGGTGGTGAGAGAGAGATTCTTAATGACATGTGGGCACCTGGATTCAGCAATACCTGAAGCTAGTGCCCTTGGACCTCAGCTACATGAACCAGTAAATTCCCTCTTTGCTGGTCTGGTTTATATTGTGTTTTTGCCACTTTACAGACCAGGGATGCTGACTAATGCACCAACATCCCAGGGTTGGGAAATAAAGTAGCCCTGACTACTTTTTTTTTTTTTTTTTTAAGATTTTTATTTATTTATTTGACAGAGAGAGACACAGCGAGAGAGGGAACACAAGCAGGGGGAGTGGGAGAGGGAGAAGCAGGCTTCCCGCCGAGCAGGGAGCCCGATACAGGGCTCGATCCCAGGACCCTGGGATCATGACCTGAGCCGAAGGCAGACACTTAATGACTGAGCCACCCAGGCGCCCCCAGCCCTGACTACTTTTTTTTTTTTAAGATTTTTTTTTTTTTTTTTTTGAGACAGAGAGAATGAGAGAGAGAGAGCACATGAGAGGGGGGAGGGTCAGAGGCAGAAGCAGGCTCCCTGCCGAGCAGGGAGCCGGATGCGGGACTCGATCCAGGGACTCCAGGATCATGACCTGAGCCGAAGGCAGTCGCTTAACCAACTGAGCCACCCAGGCGCCCGCCCTCACTACTTTTAAAAGCCCCTCCCCACCCACCCCCAAGAAGCCCTACCTTGTATTCCAGGGCAGCCTCTTCGATGGGGCGCACCCAGTGGCCTTGATGTTCCTGACTCAACCTGCAGATGAGGCAGATAGGCTCCTTGTGGTCCTCACAGAAGAGCAGCTGGACCTGCTTCATGTGTCGCTCACACTGTGGCAAGGACTTGGGACTCAAGTTGGCTATCTGCAGTCCTTCTTGCTGCTTGTAGTCTTCAGAGTTATTTACTGTGAGTGAGGCCAGGCTTAGGAAGCTGCTGGGTGAGCATTTGCCTGAGGTCTTAGGATACCTAGAAGCAACGGAGTATCTGCAGGAATCATCTCCTTCCTGGGCACGACAAAGGGGATACACAGCCTCATCCTGTGGCTTCCCTGGGGCCATGGCAGTGGAAAAATTTCCTGAGTGACAAACCCAAAATGTTATGAAGAGGTGCTACAAAGAAGAGAGAGATAGAGAGCCCATGCCTGGGACACATAAGTTCCTGGTTAGACTGGCCACTTCTAACTTGTCCTCCCCTGACTTTGTTCCAGCAAGGCAGCAAACCACCCAGCAAAAGTGAGGGCAAAGGGCTAGATCTCATGACAGTCCTGAGACTTGGAATTCCTGGATATTTATCCTAAAGAAAAGGCTTTTGTTATAAATTCTATGCCTTCCTCCCACACATGTACAGATCTAGCAGGTGATATAAAGGCAGTGAGACATTCTGACCAGTGTTTGCTTTGCCACTTAAAACCAACCAGGCTGCTCTCTTGAGTCTTGTGGGAGCCCACAAGAAGAAACAGAGACCCACTCAATTCATTAGTCCCCTCCCACCACCTCTCACAAGGTCCCAGGAATTCATATCACATCTGTAAGTGAGACTGTGGGAGGCCCCCCCAGGAACCATTCTCCCCTCCTTCCCTTATGATAGAATTGATTGCTGCCCATCAATTGATGGCTGCTTCCCTCCCCCACCCCCCCCAAAAAAAACATTTCTTGCAATTGGGTGTGGCTATTTGACTACATTCTGGCCAAAGGGATATAAATGAAGGCATCATGAACAGCTTCTAGAAACTTCTGGAAACTTTCCCTAAGCGATACTCTTCTCCTTTGTCCTTCCATCCTGCTGCTTGGAATGAGGATGCCACCCTCTGAGACCATGAGCTTGAGAGCAAATTTTGTGGAGCAGAAAAACAGCAGGAGCCTGGGTTCCTGGCCCATAGAGTACCACATCTGTTCTGGACCATCTGTGTTATTTATGTGAAGGAGAAACAAACTTCTGTCTTGTTTCAGTTAGCGTTATTTTGGTGTTTCTGTCATCCACAACCCAACATAATCCCAATTTCTGCCTCCTTAGTAGAAGAGATTTAGGATTTTAGCCAACAGCTCTCCTCCCTGCCCAGAGAGGTGAATGGCAGAATCTCAGTCCCATGACATACTGCCATGGTGTCATTGTGAGAAGCAGGTATTTTTACCCAGTCTTTCCCAGATGCTCAAGCTGGGGTCCATGAATTCCTTGGAATTCTATAGGATTTCAGTGTCTAAGAACTTGAACTTTGATGCAACATTTTATGAAGATGTGCATATGTGCATTTTTTTTCAGGATTCACAGCCTACCTCAGATCCCAGGGGGCACCCAGGGATCTGGTGTTGTGAGGAAATGCCTGCACAGGTCACCATTCCTAAGGATACCAGGTTTTCTGAGTTTTGGGGTCCTTTCTTACCTGAAGAAGGAGGGACTTCTGGACCTGAAGGCTGATGGACCTCACTGCCTACCACCTCCCTCAAGGTCTCAGAAGGTTCTTGACCCTCAATTCCATTTTTCTTTGAAGGTCCTATAGATTCTGGATGCTCCCAGGTCATCTGGTCTCCAGACAGTGATACATTGGAAAGTGTATTCCTGAATACTCCCCCCTTCAGGATCATGGACTGTTCTGGATTCTTGGAGCCTTTCTCTGGAGCCACAGTAGCGCCTACATCCAGAGTGGCCACTTCACTGGCGGTGGCTGCTGAGTCTGGATGATCACTTCTTATTTTCTCTTGAGGCAGAAGAGTTTCTGGATTGGGAGGTTCTCTCTCTCCCAAAAAAAAGGTAAATTCAAGACTTCGGGGTCGCTTCTGCCCTGACGGTAAATGTTTTTCAGAGATCCTGGGTTTTACTCTTTCTAGGGACCCAGTAAACGACTCACAGTCAAGTCCTTGGAGCCTTCCTAAAGAGCTGGCATTCCTGCGTAGCCTGCCACTAGGACTCCACTTCTCACCCTGTGGCTTACCAGGGAGTAGGCTTCTCCTGGGGGACAGAGTCATGCTTCTGGCCCATGGCTTACCCAGCACATCCAGGCCCTCAGAGCCCTTCTGATCTCTCGGTTTGCCCTGAGGCTTCTTCTGTGGCCCCCTTCCAGCCTCATGCTGGCTGGGTGGCAGGCTGAGGGCCCCATCACCACTTTGCCGCTGCCTATCACCTTCCAGGCCATCTGGTATCCTCAGGCCCTTGGGCTTATTCTCCCCAGAGGAACAAGACATTGCTGAACTGTTTGGGCCACTTTCTTGTATCAGATACTCTGCAAAGACAACAGGATGCAAAGGCATGAAATTATGCAGTGTTCAGGGCCAGGGGTCGGGAGAGAAGGGAGAGAAGGAAAAATCCCCTCAGAAATTACAGAAGTTCAGAATGTTCTAGGCAACAACAGTCAATTACCCTTAAATAAGAAAATGCTAATTATTTGTTATATATTTCTCAAATAGTGCTTTTCAAACTTCTTTGGCAGGAGAACTTGTTTCCAGTATAAAGTCTTACACAAAATTCTTAATTCATAAAATAAATAAACCCCCTAGTTTACTGGTATAAATGTGTGTGTGATTATAGGTGTATAAAACTCACTTATAAAATCCATCAATAAAGAAGAATTAAGTTATTTGGCACAAAAATTTGAAAACATTTTGAAGGACAATTAAAACTTCAGAAACTAATTTACTTCTGTTTTATTCTTTGGTTTCACGACGTGAAGAAAATCCTAACACACAGGTAAGTGTAAATGGTGATTTTTTTTTTTTTTAAACAGCTTGCTTGGTTGGAAGTTTCAGGATACAGTTTCATTAAACAGAAATGACAGGAAAGGCTTAATTCCAAGGTCTACATAAAAAGGAGTTCAAGTACAGCACAAACTATCACCCTGGTGGCCTCTAGCATTTCAAAATTTGGTTAATGACACATTTTATTTTATTTCATTTTTTTAAAGATTTTATTTATTTATTTGACAGAAAGAGAGACAGCTAGAGAGGGAACACGAGCAGGGGGAGTGGAAGGGGGAGAAGCAGGCTCCCAGCTGAGCAAGGAGCCCGATGTGGGGCTCGATCCCAGGACTCTGGGATCATGACCTGAGCCAAAGGCAGATGCCCAACGACTGAGCCACCCAGGCGCCCCTAATGACACATTTTTTTTTTTAAAGATTTATTTATTTATTTGACAGAGAGAGAGAGACAGCGAGAGCAGGAACACAAGCAGGGGGAGTGGGAGAGGAAGAAGCAGGCTTCCCGTGGAGCAGGGAGCCCGATGCGGGGCTCGATCCCAGGACCCTGGGATCATGACCTGAGCCGAAGGCAGACGCTTAACGACTGAGCCACCCAGGCGCCCCCTAATGACACATTTTAATATGAATTTGTTGGCTTTGTAAATTAGAAAAATTAATAAAATTTGGATTAAGTGTTTGTTAACATTCTAAAGAATCCCTGAAATATCTTTCCTGGTTGTAACTTAAAAACCGCTACTCTAATAAAGAAATGAAGATATCCTGTAATCAGCACTTTAATTTGTGGTAGAAGAGGCTCTTATTAAAATTGCTTCAGAGTTGTTTAAAACACTTTGCTATTGCAAACACTTTGCTTCCTAGGAAAATGTTAAGTTCCCCAAACTGGCTCAAGAACTAATGGGAAGGGCGCCTGGGTGGCTCAGTTGGTTACGCAACTGCCTTTGGCTCAGGTCATGATCCTGGAGTCCCGGGATCGAGTCCCGCATCGGGCTCCCTGCTCGGCAGGGAGTCTGCTTCTCCCTCTCCCACTCCCCGTTTGTGTTCCCTCTCTCGCTGTGTCTTTCTCTGTCAAATAAATAAATAAAATCTTTAAAAAAAAAAAAAAGAACTAATGGGAAAGCCCTAAAGATGCTAATAACCAGGTTTTATTGTTTCTGGTTTTTTAAAAAAATTTATTTATCAGAGAGAGAGAGAGAAAGAATAGCAGGGGAAGCAGCAGGCAGAGGGAGAAGCAGGCTCCCTGCTGAGTAAGGAGCCCGATGTGGGACTCGATCCCAGGACCCTGGGATCATGACCTGAGTCAAAGGCAGACACTTAACCAACTGAGCCACCCAGGCATCCCAATAACCAGGTTTTAAAACATGAAAAGGTAACTTAAAAATTCTACTCATCAAATTACACTGGACTCAGATTATGGTTTAGTCCTATCAGTCTTTCAAAGAGTGGAGAACTTTTATGTTATTTAAACATTCTACTTCAGAAAAATACATGGAGGCCACATTCGTTGATCACAGTGGGATAAAATCAGGAAGTTACAGCAAAACAGGAATAGAAGAACAAGGAGGAGAAGAAGGAAGAAAAACAAGGAAAGAGAAAAGATGAAAGGAAGGAAAAGAATTGAGAATTTTAGAATACCTTTGTGAAATGTGTCAAAGAAGAACTCAAAACTGAAAATAGGTGGATTTCAATGTGAAGATTACTGGTCCACCCAGCTGATATGGTCAGTTAGCAAGCCCTTTTTTTCTCTCCTGAAGATACTGGTCTGTACATAGGGGTTAATCACAATGAAGTTAGGGCCCCTCTAAGATCAGGCATCTTAGCTCTTGCTCTCCTGATTCTGCCCCACAGTGAGAATCTCAGCTTCCCTCGCCGTTTTTTAAAGCCATTGGGAGCCTTAGCTGTACTAACCCAGCTCCAAAGACCTAAGCAGCAGAAAGGACTTGCTCGGCCAGAGTCACTGGGGTCATGGTAGACCTGGGACTCCTAACCCCCCAAGTCACAACACAGTGGTCTAAACACAAGTTCCCTCTTGCACCTTCTACCCCATTCCATGAATAGCCAGCAGTCACACTGGGAGAGGAATGGAGCATGGGGCCTGTTTACCTGGTCTGATGGCCCTGTCAAGCTCCTCGGCCAGGAAGTTCTGGTTGATGGCTCTCAGGACTTGCAGGGTCAGCCTCACAGCATACTCTTCCCCATAGTGGGTGATCATCAGTGTGGCCAGCTTCACTGGCTTGGCATTCTGGAGCTGGCTCCGGGGGATCCGGGAGTGATCCTTCTCCAGGCTGGTGTTCTGCAGCTTAAACTTGAACTTCTCAAAGTCACTGGGCACCAGCTCCTCCAGGGAGTCCAGCAGATGGTCACTGGGGGCCTTGATCATGGTGTTGACCAGGAGAGGCCAAAGCTAGCTGTCTGAAACAGCCTCTGCCCTGGAACCCAGAGGGTGGGTAAAAAGAAGCTGTTTGTGAAATAACGGAAAAGGCACAGGAAATGCTCTGCGCTCTGGCGGGAACTGAGCTATGAGTGTCATCATTTGTTTGTTCCCAGTGATGACACTTGCGTTCTCTTTCTCACAGATTTGGAGGCTTTTACAGCTGGGAGGGCTCAAGGTCAGCCACATGGTCCTCCAGTGCCCCAGCCCTCACCTTCGCATACTGCCCAGCAGAGCAGCGAGCGGTAGGTATGTGAAGGAGGGGCTGGGGCTGGATTCCAGAGTATTGATCCTGGGCAGGCACTCAGATGCTTCTTCTTCTCCCTGGTCCCATGCCGCAGAGGACCATGATGAGGGTCAGTCTCTTTGGCCAGTTGTTCTCCTCCAGACTCTTGGGATTTTATTGGCCCTCCAAAGCAAATGTTAGGGAGGGTCGGGCTGGGGGCAAAAATGTAGTCCTGCAAGTTTTGCCCTTCCCTGCCCAAGAAGGAGGTGAAGCCAGAAGGACACTGCCAGGACACAAGCCCTGATGTCACCCCTGTTGATGTAGTTCCAGTTGTCTGGTACTTTCAGCATCACGAAGCCTCAAAATGCTATGCCTGGAACTGTCATCCTGATTTGTGTGTTCTCTACTCTGCCTGGCTTCCCGAGAGCATACCCATGAGGGAGGATGCTTGTCCATGCACCTTTACTGAACAAGTTTTTTTTTGTTTTTGTTTGTGTTTGTGTTTTTGTTTTTGTTTTTAAGTAAGCTCTACATCCAATGTGAGGCTTGAACTCAGAACCCTGAGAACAAGGGTCACATGCTCTACTGACTGAGCCAGCCAGGTGCCCCTGAACACATATTTTGGACACCCTGCCAGGATGTGGAGAAACAAGGGTGAAAAAAGACATAGGTGTCCTTTGGAGCTCATGTCCCAATGTGGGGCTCCAGAAGTCATTCCAGAGCTAATGGAAGTTGTATGTGGGTGAGCGGACTTCTTCCAGTTAACTGCTTCTGTCTTTCTGCATACTCTGATTTTTAGCCCCAACTTTGTGTTTTGAAAAATTTCAAACCTACAGAAAAGTTACCGAGATTCACCAACTGTTTACATTTTACAGTATTTAGTGATTCTCTTTCTTATGTACACACATGCATGCACTTCATTTTTCCTTTTTTCCCCTCTGAACCATTTGGTAATGAATTGAAAACATTATCAGATATCACTCCAAATACCCTACATACCCTAAGTACAATGAACAAGGATATAAGGATATTATTTTAAATAATCAGAATACAATTATCATACTCAGGAAAATTAACATCATTATAATACTATAATGAGTTCATAATCAAATTTCTCCAAAGGACTGATAATGTCCTTGACAGCTTTTTTTTTCCAACCCAGGGTCCAATCAGAGATCCTGCACTGCATTTAGTTGTTACATCTCTATACTCTGCTTCTACTAGAACACTTTCACACTTCCCCGCCTTTTTAAATTCTGTCAATGTTTTTGAAAAGTCTGTTCCAAGCAGAATGTGCCTTAATTTAGATCTGTGCATCATTTCCTCATTATTAGACTGAAGGTATATTCAGGTGCTCAAGATGTCTCCATTGTAAGAGGATGTTTTTTCTTGTAATTAGTAAGTAACCTGAGAATGTGGAAACGTCTTGTTCTCCTACAATCTTTCACCCCATGATTTTAACATTCATTGATGATCTTTTCCTAAATCAGTTGCTACAATGGTACTTGCAAAATGGTTATATTTCTATCACTTAGCTGGCATCATTTGCATGTCCTGGTTTAAGCTTTCTGCATTTCTCATGAAGTTTTTGGCTTACAGATGTTGTTTTTTCTTGAGATTTTATTTATTTCACAGAGAGAGATAGCGAGAGCAGGAACACAAGCAGGGGGAGTGGGAGAGGGAGAAGCAGGCCCCCCGATGAGCAGGGAGCCTGATGCCATGTGGGGCTTGATTCCAGGACCCTGGGATCATGACCTGAGCCGAAAGCAGACACTCAACAACTGAGCCACCCAGGCTCCCCCAGATGTTTTGTTGTTAACACAATTGTGGTTACTCTGTGCCAGGCACAGCTTGCTTTATATCCGTTATCTCCTAAAATCTCTGCAGCATGCCTTCAGGGCAGGATTCATCATCCTCACTGCCAGGATTAGTGGTTTAGTGACTTGCTCAGTGACTGAGCCAGGATTCAAACTCCCTCTTTTAACCACTTTGCAGAATGGTCTCTGTGCATGATGATAATTTATTATTTTACTGTTCCTCACTAACCCCAGATGTCACTTTTTTCAGCTGTCCAGTGAGACTCAAAATGGGCTATTCTGACCACTCCCACAGGTCATTTACAACATTCTGATGCCTGGCAGAACAAACAACACTGTGTGTGACCAGCCTGTGTGTGACCAGCTGGGACCGAGGCCTTCATGAGTTCTGCTTGGTTGAATGTTATCTTACTATCCACTTGGTCCACATACTTCCTATTTTACAGATTACTCCGTGCTTTTGGTTTAATAGCTGACAGCATCCAGTTTTCTGGATCCTGCTGAGAAAATAACCCCAAACCCAACATACTCCCTAAAAAATGGATGGACTCAAATGCATGCATATTTGTGGTGCAAATGTTGGATGTGTGATATTCTCAGGTTGGGCCGGAAGGGTGTTGACCGAGCGTCTCTGAGATCACGACCTCTCCAAGATTTCAGAAGGCAGTAACACAGCCACCTCACAGGGAGCCTCCCACTCCTGAGACAACTGAAATTGTGCAATAACACACACGGTCCTTCTTGTTCCTGGGGTCCCTAACCCTGTCTTGACTGGCCAGCAAACTCCTTTAAGCTCAAACTAACACACCCACAGCAGAATTGGGCAGGAACTGGGGCTTTCCAGTCTATAGCAGGATATTTTGCAATTGCAGTGATACCTTTTGCAACAGGGAGCAATTCTGAGGCATGGACTTGCCTTTTTTTTTTTTTAAGAGAGAGTAAGCAAGCAGGGGTGGTGGGGAAGGAGGGGCAGAGGAAGAGGAGAGAGAATCTCAAGCAGACTCCCCACTGAGCTTGGAGCCCCACATTGGACTCAATCATGACCTTGAGATCATGACCCTGAGATCATGACCCTGAGGCATGACCTGAGGTGAAACCAAGAGTCAGTCGTTCAACCAACTGAGCCACCTAGTTGCTCCAAGGCATGGACTTACTTGTGAGGTAGTGGCATTTCTATGTCAAAGAAGCTGAAAGAGGTTCCAGTAATTTTTTTAAAATGAAGAATGTGGGGGCACCTGGGTGGCTCAGTTGGTTAAGCGACTGCATTCAGCTCAGGTCATGATCCTGGAGTCCTGGGATCGAGTCCCGGGATCGAGTCCCACATCAGGCTCACTGCTCAGCAGGGAGTCTGCTTCTCCCTCTGACCCTTCCCCCTCTCATGCTCTCTCAAATAAATAAATAAAATCTTTTAAAAATAAATAAATAAAATGAAGAGATGTGAAAAGACGAATATAACTCTCAGGGTGACTTTTGAATGAACAGTGGTAGTGGAGTATCAATGAAATCTTTCTTGTGCCTCTGTGACTGAATGTGTGCCCTTATTTGGGAACAACATGACAAATCTAAATCCATCACAGCTGCTGCAAGCAGAGCTACTTCAACCTCTGCTCTTATCTTAAGTAATGCACAGCCCAGACATCCCAACCTTAAATCCATGCCTGGGTTTCATCTTTCTAACTTACTCCATCAGGGTTTCACTTTCTAACCATTCATTTTTGCATCACTTTGAGCTTTTTTAAATCAATATGTATTATTTTTATAAAAGAAAAGATAGTTTTAAAAAAGTATTTTATAATTAGCTTAGCCTCCAAGGAGATATCAGTCCTGTCCCCACAACCATCATGATGAAGTTTGTGGTAGTTAAATATATAGTACATACGGGTTATTGAGAGAGCCATAGGCAAGATCATGGAAGAGTTCCTGTGTTAATCCGGAGTTGGAAGTAATGGATCCCATTGTGACCCAAACTCTTCCTCACCTTCCAGTATATTGAATTTTAAGGGAGAAATCAGAGACTTTGAGAGGCTAACATCTCAATTTCAAAGTGAATTTCCAGGCAATGAACCTCCCACTGGGAAACATACTTGTAACTGGGCTTTCTGAGAGCACACCAAGTTCTGGTGCAACCTCCAACCTCCTGAGCAGGATGGAAACAGGGAGAGAAAGGCAGCTTCCTAGGTGGACTTGACTTGTGGAGGTTGTACAGTAGTGGGGTCGGAATAGTTCCCGGATTGGTCCACCAGTGAGAGTTTCATTTTGCAATATGGTAACGCCAAGCAAGAAGCTTTATGAGCTCTAAAGTGCTATACACATTATTTATTCTCATTGGTAAATCTAGACGGAGGATAAGTGGGTGTTCATTTTACTCTTTAAATTTTTTTTTACATATTTAAACATTTTATAATTTAAAACACTGAAAAAATTTTGTTTTACTAATATTTCTAGGGACCCTTCTAGGAAGCTGGCTGTGGGCATACAGTCCCTGACCGCCAAAGGCTTACATGTTAGTGAAGGGGAATAACCCAGTTGCCTGCTCTCCCTTCCCTTGCACCCTTTGAGGTTTGGTTTACATAATCCTGCCCCACTCGGATCTCCCTGTCCTTTTACCCGCGGCACAGCTGCTCCGGGTGCTTCGGGCAATGCCTACTCAGTAAGTTTCGAATATGCACAGAGTAGTGGGGAAAAAAACGGGACTCCAAGATCTAGGACTTGTGGCCTGGGCCAGTTACCCGACGTCTCTGAGTTTCCTGTCAAAAGGGTGGTTTGGAAGTTTCAATGAGATAATGTATGCTAAAGAGCCTGGCACCGTGGGTCAGTGTCAGCTAGGTCCTTTGATGCTCCAGCGCCTAGCGCAGCGCCGGGCTAGTCGTGGGCGGCGTCCGAGAGCCGGACACAGGATCCCCGCCCCCGCAACGGCCGTCACCTCCGAGACCCCCGCCCACAGCGCGCGGTTCCCTGCCGCCGCGCTCGCTTCCGCGCGTGGGGGCAGGAAGACCCCACTCCGCGGGTCTCACGCCCGGCAGCAACTTCCTTGGGGCAGTCGCTCTGAGGGGAAGCGGCCTGGGCGGGAGGGGGTTTGTCCGCGGTAAGAGTAGCCCGAGGATAAAACGGAAGTGTCAGCGAAGAGCCCCGATAGGCAGGCTGGCAGGCACTGGAGTAGAGACAACCCGGCACACTGTGTCCGGGGCCCCGCGGGCTCTGCCCCAAGGGGGGAAAGCCCGAGGAGGCGCGACACGCCCTGCGGCCGGCCGCCGTGCAGCCGCGCTAATGAGTCCGAGGGCCACGCCCTAAACTACATCTTCCAGGGGGCCCCGGGAGTAAGCGGAGCCAATCGGAGGGCGAGTGGGCGGGCTCAGCGGGGCCTGTGTCTCCCAGGGGGCGCTGGGGCGCGGCGCGGTGGTCGGGATCGGCAGCCCCAGCAGCCTATGGTTGTGTCTCCACAGAGCGGCCAGCGCCCGGCGCGGAGGAGGAGCGGCCGTCGCCGCTGGTATCCTGGGCACGACCGCAAGAAGGGCAGTCGACGCGGCCGCCCGCGGCCCGGGATTGCAGGGTGAGGGTGCCCGGGGGCTGCGGTGCAGCGTGGCTCCCTACATTCCTCCACCCTTTAAGAGCCCCTAGACCTCGTTCAGTCGTGTTACCGGCAAGTATTTACCAGTGCCTGCTGTGCACCCGTTGCTGTGCCGGGGCGAAGACTGGCAGGTCAGGCGGCACTCCTGCCCCAGGGCGCTTGTCTCCCCACTTACAGAGAGGGGGTTGGTCTCCACTCGCGGCGAGAGCAGTGAAAGGAATTCATTCAGCTCGACGCCAGCACTGTCATCTTGTCGGTTTTCAGACACCAGGAACCCTAGGGTACCGATTCTTAAACTTCTATCGTGATTCATTTTGAAAAATCTAGGGGAATGCTATGGGCAGTGGAGATAATGGTTTTGTTGAGAAAAAAAGCACATGGACCTGCAGTTTCGTGTGTCATTTCAGGGGATTCGTGACTTCCTGAAGTCTGCCAGGAGGAACCTGGCACGGAGCTCTAGGTATGGACCCTCCCGTCAGTCAAAGCCGCCCGTACTTTTTGTTTTATATATTTCACCTTCAAGGAAGATTTCCTTTGATCCACCGAGGGCGGAGCGGGGGAGGAACACCCATCGAGACCGTCTATCTGTATTTCTAGTCCCAACATTCTATTTGTTTAAGTCCTTCCCATCAAAACTACTTTCTAGTCTCAGGTAAACATAACCAGACTGTATTCACCTCCATGGTAATGTGAGGGGCACCTTCTTACTCAAATCCTTGTAACCCTTGTGGAACGTTCCCTTGCCTGCCACACTTGCCAATTAGTTAGAAACTGTAAACGACTTAAATGAGTATCACCAGGCAACTGGCTGAGTACATTTTGGTGAATCTATTCTATGGACTGCACCGCATCCGTTGAAAATGTGCAGTGGGTTTTTCTTTTTCTTTTTTTTTTTTCAAGATTTTATTTATTTATTTGACGGAGAGAGACACAGCGAGAGAGGGAACACAAGCAGGGGGAGTGGGAGAGGGAGAAGCAGGCTTCCCGAGGAGCAGGGAGCCTGATGGGGGGCTCATCCCAGGACCCTGGGATCATGACTTGAGCCAAGGCAGATGCTCAATGACTGAGCCACCAAGGCGCCCCTGCAGTGGGTTTTTGTATGCTAATGTGTGGAGATGGTCAATATGTAAGGTGAAAAAGAGCATGTTTACAGTACAACATGAAAATATAATCCCACGTTTGTAAATAACAGGAAAAATATTTTAAAACTTAAATATCTAAAGGGGAACAAGAAATACCATGGCAACCTCCAGAGAGTAGAATTAGGGATAGAGGTTGTGCTTTTCACTGTGTCTTCTATATGTTTTTGTGTTTTTCAATAAGCATTTAAACATTTTATGACACATGAAAAATCATCCGTGAATATATTCTAAGTGTAAAATAATAAGGCAAAACAGAAAATATAGCAAGCTAGTGTTAGAGGAAGACTTTCATGTTTTGCTCATTATTTATTTATTTATTTATGTGTTTATTTATTTGTGTATGTATGTATGTAGGCTCCATGACCAACATGAGGCTCAAATTGAGAGCCTGAGATTGAGAGTCGCATGCTCTACCGACTGAGACAGCGAGGTGTCCCTGCTCATTATTTTTTATAAAAAAACTTAAATAAAACCTCATGAACTGGAATATTTTTTTCATTGTAGTGCAGAGGATTATGAAAATGGTTTTTAAAAAGCACACTGTGCCCATAGAGAAACACATGGGTGACACTTATGATTGAAGCTAACATATATTGGGCACTTTGTGTGTGATATATCATATGAGTGCCTTATATGCCTTCATAGCAGAGGCTCTGGAGTCAGACTGCCTCAGTGAGAATACTGCGTACAGTTAACCATTTGTGTGACACTGGCTGAGTGATGGACCTATCTACTTATTCAGCCTTGAAAAGGAAGGAAACTCTGATACATGGCACAACACATGACAGACACAAAAGGGTAACTGTTGTATGATTGTACCTCTATGAGGTACCTGGAATAGTCAAATTCAGAGACAGAAAGTAGAATAGTGTTTAACAGGGGCTGGGAATGGAGGGTAATGGAGAGTTATTTAATGGTTAGAATTTCAGTCTGGGATGATGAAGAAGTTCTGGGGATGGGTGGTGGTGATGGTTGTACAACAATGTGAATGCATTTAATGCCACTGAATTGTATACTTAACAGTTGTTAAAATGGTAAATTTTAGGTTATGTGTATTTTACCACCCCAAAAACCTCAAAAATGCACATACTCCTCAATTCAATTATTCTATTTCTGGGAGTATCCTAAAACAATTATTGAGTGTACACAAAGTTTCATTGCAAGATGTCCATTGCAGAATTGTTTATTAAACCAAGAATTGGAAACAACTTAAATGTCCATCAGTAGAGGAGATAGTAAGTACAATTGTGGTACACCCATACTGTGGCATACTGTACATCTGATAAGAGTAAGAAAGCCCTGTTCATCTTGATCCAGGCACACTGTTATTAAAGGGAAAACTGGGAAAACATGTACTACACATAATAAATACATATATGTGAACACATCAGAAGGAGATTGGTAGAATGTGCAGCCAACTGTTACCTATAAAAATGAGTAGAAGTGAGGGGCGCCTGGGTGGCTCAGTCGTTAATTGTCTGCCTTCGGCTCAGGTCATGATCCTAGGGTCCTGGGATTGAGCCCCGCATCGGGCTCCCTGCTCCGCAGGAAGCCTGCTTCTCCCTCTCTCATTCCCCCTGCTTGTATTCCCTCTCTCACGGTGTCTCTCTCTGTCAAATAAATAAATAAATAAATAAATAAATAAATAAATAAATAAATAAATAAATAAAATGAGTAGAAGTAAATAAGGGGGTGATGAAAAGTTTCCTCACTTTCTTTGTATACATCTATATTCTTTGAATCTTGTACAATGACTACTCATGTATTACTATTGTTGCATAACAAGCACGTCAAAAATTAGTGGTATAAAAACCCTTTTTATTCTCATGATTTTGTGATCAGGATTTTGAGCAGGACACAGGAGGGACAACTCATGTCTGCTGCATGACTGGAGCTCCAACTGGGGTGGCTCCTGTGTCTGCAGATTGCTGGAATTGCTATAATTGACTGGGGCTATGTGTCTAGGGCCTCGGTACTGGCTCTCTGGGTTACTGCTTGTTTCTTCTCCCCCTTGTTCTGCTGGGACTGGAATATCTAAATGACTTCTTCACTTGTATGTGGAGTGCCTGGGCTGGGATGGCTGGAACAGCTAGAGTTTGCTGCACATCCATTTCTGTCCAGGTGCACAGCTTGGGCTTCCTCACAGCATGGCAGTCTCCAGCTAATCAGCCTTCTTAAATGGCAGCTGGTGTTCCCAGAGGTAGCTTTCCCTGAAGCCTCTGGTGGTAGCTTTAAGACTTCTTAGGTAGTCTCAGAAAGTCACTTCCATTTCATTCTGTTGCCTAAGCATGTCACTAAGGTTAGTCTAGGAACCCCCTCTCAATAAGGAATAAGGAATTTGTAGCTGTTTTTAACCTACCACACTTATTTGTTAAAAATAAAGACTTTTCACAGGAAATTCACCCTGACCTATGATTTATAGTGACCTTCATTCCAGCAGAGCACACCCACCTCTTTCAGTTCTCTCACCAGTCATTGCAAATGTACAGTCTCTTTGAAATCCTCTACTAGGACTGTTGTTTCCATCCAAGTTTCTTATGCCATTCTGCAAATTAATGTTTAGCTCAGTGGTTCTCATCTTTGGTTGCACATTAGAATCATCTGGGGAGGGACACCTGGGTGACTCAGTTCTGCCTTTGGCTCAGGTCATGATCCCAGCATCCTGGGATCGAGTCCCACATCGGTCTCCCTGCTCAGTGGGGAGCCTGCTTCTCCCTCTCCCTCTGTCTGCCACTCCCCCTACTTGTGCTCTCTCTCTCTCTGACAAATAAATAAAACCTTTAAAAAAATGTTTAAAATCATCTGGGGAGGCGGCACCTGGGTGGCTCAGTTGGTTAAGCGACTGCCTTCAGCTCAGATCATGATCTCAGGGTCCTTAGATCGAGCCCTACATCGGGCTCCCTGCTCAGCAGGGGGTCTGCTTCTCCCTCTCCCTCTGCTTCTGCGTGCTTTCTCTCTTTCTCTCAAATGAATAAATAAAAAAATCTTTTAAAAAAAGGATTATCTGGGGAGCTTTAAAAACTCTTGCTGCCCAAACAAAATACATCAGAGTCTCCAGGGGTACCACCCAGGTGCTATGGTCTGCATGTTTGTGTCTCCTCAAAATTCATAGGTTGAAATCCTAATGCCCAATGTGATAGTATTAGATGGGTGGGACATTTGGGAGTTTCTTGGGTCATGAGGGTGGAGCCCTCAGTAGTGGGATTAATCCTCTTGTATATGAGACCCGCACAGAGCTCCCAAGTCCCTTCCACCACATGAGGACACAAAGGTTGGCAGTCTGAAACCCAAAAGAGGGCACCCACCTGACCATACTGACACCCTGATTTCTCATAGTCTCCAGAGCTGTGAGAAATACATTTCTGGGGTGCCTGGCTGGCTCAGTCAATGGAGCATTGTGACTCTTGATCTTGGGGTTGTGAATTTGAGCCCCACATTGAGCATAGAGATTACTTAAAATAAAACCTTTAAAAAAGAGAGAAATTTCTGTTGTTTATAACCTACCCGGGCTGTAATATTTTGTTATAGTTGCCCTAATAGACCAAGATTATTTTAGGTGTCAGACTTTTTTAAAGCTCCACAGATGATTCCAGTGTTTAATAAGGATTAGAACCTCTGGTTTAGATTTTTAGTAACTTCTCCAGCACCAGTGGCTTCCAGAAGTGGCTGCTTAGCACTTGTCAGCCAACAGTCATTGTTGGCAAAGCAGTGGGTTGGATGTGTGAATCTGGTCATGGAATTACAAGAAGGTTTGACTAATGGCTAAAGCCAACCCCTCCACCCAGGGTTGACTGCCATGCTCCACGGAGGCCCCCTCAAGCTCTCCAGTTAAGGAGATTGCATCCTTCACCTGCTTACCACAGCCAGCTCCAAGGATGAAGCATCTCTGTGTGCAGCTTCTGCCTGTGCTGGGTCTGACTCCTATTCTGTAAGTCCTTTGCTCAAGGACCTTGTGGTTGAGCAAATGGTTATAAGGACAGAGAACATGGCACTTTCTGAAGTAACATAAATCCTAAAGCTGCCTGTTTACTTCCCAGGGGAAGCTCTATCCTGTTGGAGCTGCCTGATAGAAACACAGGGAACTTGGCAAACCCTGAGTTTCTAGGAGAAGGAGACAGAAGGGAGCCTTTGGGAAATAGAGGTCTCACGTGAATGACTCATCTGTCTGTCAGCAAGGTCTTGAGGAAAAAAATGCAAAGGTCTGAGGGGTACTCCCAGCATCTCAGAGCAGGTAGGGTGGACAGGAAGACCTGACAGGGCCAAGGACCCAGATCCCCATCTCTTGTGTTCCCCACCACCCTACCCACAGCAGAACCTACAATTTTTTTCCTTTTCGTTTTTGGAAGAGATTTCTTCTTGTGGCCAGAGTGCAAGCCTTGCCTCAAACCAATAGTCAGAGATTGCCTGGAATAACCTTGGTAGTTATGCCATTATGCTTCTTTCCTTGGAGATGGATATATTTTTTAATACACAGAACATAATTACCTATGTAACCATCCCTCACAATTAAGATGTTATGATGTCTATTTACTTGATTTTTGTTATTTCTATTTTGTAAGAAACTAGGCACCTCTGGACTGCCCATGAATGGAGAGCCTACGTGTGGTACTCTTAGGGTAGTTAGACTACTTAGGTGAGATTCCAGAGCAAATTCTTCTAGTCAACAAAGTGGAAAGTGCAAGACCTTTTATGTTGGGGGCTCTCTAGCATTTGGACAACCCTGAGAAAAACATTTTAGGAGGAGGGACTCCATCCTGCCCAGGGTGGACTATACTGTCTCAAGAGAAAAGGCACTGGAAGTGTGCCTCCACCCCAGATCAAGTGAGGGGCCACTTGTTCTTTTTTGCTCCCCTACACTCTCCCTTCCCCTTAGGAAGGGGCCCAAGTTTTAGAGAGGTGACTAAAGAGTTACTATAGAATGCAAAGTAGGCATGGATAGGCTTCTCTTAGGGCCATTTGGTATGGTCTCACCTTTATGAAAGGTCTCAAGTTTTTTATTTTTGAAGTTCTCTCCAGGAAAACACCTAGTTGTGTTCTTGTGTTTGGTGTTAAGAATGCTAGATGCAAACATGTAAACTATACCACAGTTTTTATAGTATCTTAATTTTCTAGGAGGCTTAAAAAATGTGGGGATAGGCTTTGCTAGACTTCTGAGAAATCCTGTCTGATCAACTGGAAAAGACAGGATGGAGGGTGACTTGTCTCATTCTGGGGATAGAAAAAATCCCCAATGCCAGTTGTTCAAACCCCCAGACTCACACAGACTTGGGGGCTGACTGAACTGAATATAAGTGCTGAGGAGAGGCCAAGAGATGAGCTCTCCTTTCCACCTTGTTCCACATCCTTACAGGGGACTTAAGGGGAGGAAGCAGGGAGCTGGGCCTGTAAGCTTAAGTCTGAGCTTTGGGTGTTTCTGAGATTATTCTGCCCAGATCACTAGGCTAGAAATGGAGAGAAGATTTTAAGACTAGTACTCATTTCAGAATTAAAGATCAGTTTCCTGGATTGCCCTTTGTTTCTTCAGGAATGTGAAGATGACTGCATGTGCAGGAGGGCTATGTGTACTCTCTCACCCTCACCCCTCCCCCACCCCCACCATGTCATGAGTCCCTTGGAGGCTCAGTCACCAGTCTGTTCCCTGATTTCCTTGATTTTAGTCTAGACAACACATTGTGAAAGAATCCCTGCAAATTCTGGAAGGTCACAATTGAAAAAATCTTAACGTGGTCTCTGTGGTTTTTTTCTGCTTTCAAGAAGACAAACAGCTATGGCATCTTTGGGAAGACTGTCTCAGCTGGAGAAAGGGATGAAGCCTCACCAAGGCCCTTTGGCCTTCTATTCTCACTGCTAGCTTTAATAGCTAGGGAGCTATTAAGAATTGCTGTGTAAAGTCCATAAAATAGTTTTTTTTTTAAAGATTTTATTTATTCATTTGAGACACAGAGATACAGAGACAGAGAGAGAGCATGAGTAGGGAAAGAGGCAGAGGGAGAGGGAGAAGCAAGCTCCTCGCTGAGCCAGGAGCCCGATGTGGGGCTCGATCCCAGGATCCTGGGATCATGACCTGAGCCAAAGGCAGATGCTTAACCAACTGAGCCACCCAGGCACCCCAAGTCCATAAAATAGTTTTGTTTGTTTGTTTTTAAAGCCTCTAACAAGGGAAGAGGAAGTAAAAAAACCTCAAGGAGGCAGAATGGGAAGCAACCCAAACTCCTCTCCCTCACTTCTCCTTTACACAAGCACCAAGGGTGCTTCCAAAGATAGAAAAATACTTGAGAGGCCAGAGACTACATTTGTGTCCTGTAAATAGAACCCTTGTTTTCTAGGGCCTTGGGGATACTTAACAAGCCTTATCAAATATGAGTCTACAGGAAAACGTGAATGAACTTTTCAAGCACAGTAGAATGAACCTCATTTTCTAATCAATGCAGGAAAAAAAAAATTTAAGAGGAAAATTTTTTTGACCAGTTGACCAATTCGGCTAAAAGAGGAAATAAAATAAAAACTATAATGACAAGCTATTTTGAAATGACCAATGAGAATATTGTATATTAAAATTATGGGAAATAATCAAAGCTGCACTTAGAGGAAAACTCATAGCCTTAAATGCTTTTATCATTAAACAGAGACTAGAAATTAAATACACTGGGGCACCTGGGTGGCACAGTCTGTTAAGCATCTGACTCTTATTTCCGCTCAGGTTGTGATCTCATGGTCATGAGATGGAGCCCCATGTCGGGTGCAGCATGGAGTCTGCTTGAAATTCTCTCTCTCCCTCTGCCCCTCCCACTCATGCACTTGCTCTCTCAAATAAATAGATCTTTTAACAAAATTAAATACACTGGTATTTATTGAAAGTTTAATTCGTATGGAAATTGCACTTAAATATATTTTACTTAATCTTTGTAGTGCTTATGAGGCAGACACTGTTTTTTGCTCTTATCTTTTCAAAATGCTCTGAAGTATAACTAGCACTATCCATGCAATGGCCTAGGTTCTTAGTTTTCAAGAGTATTTCACACCTTTCTTGATTCACTGCTACATTTATTAATGTTTATTGTCTATACAGAACTTTAAGGGATGAAGAGATGAATAATTGATGTTCTCTACCCTATACTCCTGTCAGTGTATGTGACGTTGATGTATATATGTTGGAATGGCAGAAGAGGACACAGGTCATAGTATGATTGTAACTAACCCTCCGAATTAAGGCAAACTTTTAGTGCTAAAAAATAAGGTCTTAACAAAGTACCATGGGAGCCCAGAAGAAAGTGATTTTGACTTGTGGTAGCAAGAGTCAACTGCAGTGCTTATTGCTACAGTTCAGGGCCTTGTTTAGGAGTCTGTGCTTCATTATCAGGACAGTGGGGAACCACTGGAGGGTGGGTGTGTGTGTGTGTGTGTGTGTGTGTGTAGACTTTTCTAAACTTTTAAAGTTTTGTTGTTGCTATTTTGTTTTGTTTTTCCCCTTCAGAATAGTTTCTCAGATGTGGAACTACTTGATCAAAGAGGAAAAAAATTTATGATTCTTAAAACACACCATCAAATTGCTTTCCATAAAGTGTAATGCGTTCACAGGGTCTCTCTCCCTGTTGGGAGATGTTGGTGTCTATAAAGGTCTGAACGAAGGAAGCTTTTCCCACAGCTGGGGCACTAGTGAGGCTCCTTTCCTGAATGAGTCCCCTGATGCTCAGGGAGTCTAATGTTGAGAGATTCTTCTAGGGTGAAGTTCTCAGGGTTTCCTCTGTATAGAGTGGTTTGATGCTCTATAAGTTCTAAGTCTTGGGATTTCCAAGTTGATTTTCTATTTTTTGTTTGTTTGTTTTTTGTAAAACAGAACCTCAGAGAGCATTCCATTCTAAGGTAACAGTGAATGGATGCAGAGTTCCCAGGTTTTTTCTGCTTTGAAGAAGCTTCTTTGTCTCTCCTAACTTTTTAAATTAAATTTTAGTTATTTAACATACAGTGCAATACTGGATTCTGGAGTAGAATTCAATGACTCACTTAGATACAACACCCAGTGCTCATCACAAGTGCCCTCTTTAATACCCATCACCCATCTGTCCCTCCCCGCCCACCTCCCTCCATCAACCCTCAGTTTATTCTCTATCGTTAAGAATCACGTATGGTCGGGGTGCCTGGGTGGCTCAGTCATTAAGCGTCTGCCTTTGGCTCAGGTCATGATCCCGGGGTCCTGGTATTGAGCCCCGCATTGGGCTCCCTGCTCCACAGGAAGCCTGCTTCTCCCTCTCCCACCCTCTCTGCTTGTGTTCCCTCTCTTGCTGTGTCTCTCTCTAATAAATAAATAAAATCTTAAAAAAAAAAGAATCATGTATGGCTTGTTTCCCTCTTTCCTCCTTTTTCCTTTCTCCCTTCCCATATGTTCATCTGTTTTCTTACTTAAATTACACATATAAGTGAGGTCATATGGTATTTGTCTTTCTCTGACTGACTTATTTCACTTAGCACTCTAGCTCCATCCATGTCATTGCAAATGGCACGATTTCATTCTTGATGGTTGAATAATATTCCTGTGTGTGTGTGTGTGTGTGTATCACATCTTTATCCATTCATCAGTCGACGATGGACATTTGGACTCTCTCCATAGTTTAGTTATTGTTGATAATGCTGCTATAAACATTAGGGTGCATGTGCCCCTTCGAATCTGTATTTTTGTATCCTTTGGGTTAAATATCTACTTTATTTTGTATCCTTCGGGTTAAATACCTACTAGTGCAATTGCTGGATTGTAGGGTGGTTCTATTTTTAACTTTTTGAGGAACCTCCAAACTGTTCTCCAGAGTGGCTGCACCAGTTCGCATTCCCACCAACAGTGCAAGAGGGTTCCCCTTTATCCACATCCTCCCCAACACCTGTTGTTTCTTCTGTTGTTAATTTTAGCCATTCTCACACGTGTGAGGTGGCATCTCATTGTGGTTTTAATTTGTATTTCCCTGATGATGAGTGATGTTGAACATCTTTTCATGTGTCTGTAAGCCATCTGGATGTCTTTGGAAAAGTGTTCATGTTTTCTGTCCATTTCTTAACTGGGTTATTTGTTTTTTGGGTGTTGAGTTTGATAAGTCTTTATAGATTTTGGATACTAACCCTTTATCAGATATGTCATTTGCAAATATCTTCTCCGATTCTGTAGGTGGCCTTTTAGTTTTGTTGATTGTTTCCTTTGCTGTGCAGTTGACAAAGTCCCGATAGTTCATTTTTGGTTTTGTTCCCTCACCTCTAGCGACGTGTCTAGCAAGAAGTTGCTGCAGCCGAGGTCAAAGAGGTTTCTCCCTGTGTTCTCCTCTAGGATTTTGATGGTTTTATGTCTCACATTTAGGTATTTCATCCATTTTGAATTTATTTTTGTGTATGGTATAAGAAAGCGATCCAATTTCATTCTTCTGCATGTTGCTGTCCAATTTTACCAACACGATTTGTTGAAGAGACTCTTTTTTCCATTGGATATTCTTTAAAGATCAGTTGACCAAATAGCTGCAGGTACATATCTGTGTCTCTCCTGATCTTAAAACCTGAGAGAAAAAATGAAAATTGAAAATGTCGTCCTGTTCCAAGGGGAAACAAAGTGAGGGGGAGAAAAAGTTGTATTAAACCAGTAATGGGATGTTTGAAACGCCTAAGTAAATCTCAAAGCTTTTTACTCCAATTAAGTCTGATGTTTTCTTTTCTTTCTTCCCTTGTATCCAGTGAACACTCACCTTAACTTGAAGCCAAATACTTGTTTCATTTCTTTGGAATTCTGCAGTCCTTTTACCCATGGCTCTTCTCTGTGCTCTGCTGGGAAGCTCAGGCCAGGCCTTGGTACTGGATATCCTGGCCACAAGAAAAACAGGAAGCATAAGAGTTTGGGTCACCACTGATTGTTCCTGGATTCTGATTTCTGGGGCAGATGGCCTCTCTCTCTCTATTTCCTCAGTAAGGATGATTTCACCTAGAGCCTCTGTCAGGCAATATTTCAGTGTTAATATAAAACCAAAATGAAGGGAAAGCTTTTGTGCTCAATTCAAGGCTATTGTCCTCCATCCAATCTGTGGACGAGGAGTGAATTAATTCTGTGTTAAAATCAATGCACTAGGGCGCCTGGGTGGCTCAGTTGGTTGGGCGACTGCCTTCGGCTCAGGTCGTAATCCTGGAGTCCCGGGATCGAGTCCCGCATCGGGCTCCCTGCTCAGCAAGGAGCCTGCTTCTCCCTCTAACCCTCCCCCCTCTCATGTGCTTGCTCTCTCTCAAATAAATAAATAAAATCTTTAAAAAAATAAAAAAATAAAATAAAATCAATGCACTAAATTAGTTTTATATTATCTTTCGAATATTTTATTAAGAGAATTATCTAAGCCAGGACTAAAATGCCAAAAGAAGAGAGAGAGAGAGAGAGGTAAAAGTGGGAGTTTGGGAACTGTGTCCTGGATTAATTTCAGTTAAGAGATTTTCAAATAAAAATTGATATCTGAACTTGATTGGTGGTGACCAGCAAATACTGTCTTTATATGTTTCTTTTAGCTGAAGCCTAGAAGTGGATTATCTTGAAGTTAACTGAAACAACTATCTAACAGTGTTTCTGGCAAGCCAAAGACAGTTAGTAAAATCATGTCCAGCTTAGTTCCCTGCTATGTCCTACCACTGCTTCCCTCGCTGAGAGCAGCTATAGCTTGCAACCTCTTTCTGTGTCCCTTCTTACCCCTCCTCACCCCTGACAAAATTTACTGCTCTGCAATAAAGTGTGGGTTGGTAAATGGTGGTTTATGATACAAGGAGGAAATATGAGGAAATGTTTAAATATGAGAATTATGTTTAAATATGAGGAATAAACATGAGGAAAATGTTTAAATATTAACATTACTAAACAACATTAGCAAGTTAGTTTGGTTAATGTTAATCTGAAGGAAAACTTAAATTCTAGGACATTTTATCAAAATACAGAAAGTGGAGCAAAATACCTTATTTTATTATTTTCATGGAGAAAGGCAACATATTTCAGATTAATAAAAGTAAAATGCATTTTACATCAGTATTTTGTTTATAATTGAATTTCAAAGCTAAGAGTAAGATCAAAGAGTAATTTCATACATGTAAAGCCAAACCCTGAGCCATAGATCACAGGAAATCTGTAGTCCAGTAAAGTAGTATCAAATCAAAGCTGGGAAGAGTGGCAAATAGCAAAGGCTTGGGGTGGCAGAAACCTGGAGGCCAGAGTATCCTCAGGGGAGAGGCAGGGAAAGCAGCATTTCACACTGAGAGGAGCTGCTTATTTTTCTGCTCCCTCACCAAAGAGCACAGACCAAAAAGTCTTAACACTGTGTATTTCATCAAATACTGGTTTGAAAACCACGCACAGACAACTGCCCCACTTGAGTGCAGTGGAATCTATAAGACCTAGGTAAGGACTGAAAGCTCCAGAGACAGAATCTAGTGACCATGACAGCTAAGGCCAGGATTATTCTTTATCTGAGATTCAAATTTGTTTTTCTCGGTTATAATAGGGAGCCACCGACAGCCGAGGACAAGAAAATATAAGAACGCAGAATCAATAATGGTTGCCAGAGGGCATATTTACTTCCCTGAACTTACTTTTCACCAAAGACCTAAAATAGTGGTTCTTAATTTTTTTGGTGGTTTTGAGAACTTCATGAAAGCCATGGATCCGCTTCCTAGAAGATACACATACACATGCAGTTCTGCATACAGTATCAAAAGTTAAAAGATTTCCAAATCCAACAATTGTGACCCTCCAAGAGCTGCACTAGTCAGTACAGTAGCCACCAAGTGGCACTTAGGAACATGAGCCGCATTTTACCATTGCAATAAATTCTACTAGACAGTGCTGCTCCATAATTTCATGGACTCTAGGTTAAGAACTCGTGCCCCAAATGAGCCCCTGTAGATCTACTGGCCTGTAACCCCACTCCCAGTAATATTCCAGCTATTTTATCTGTCTGAATAGGCCTCAAAAGGAGGAGGAATATTAACAGTAATTTTTAATAACTCAGAAAGTCCATCTAGCTTCAAGTCTCCATTAATAACCTTAACTTAGGGGTGCCTGGGTGGCTCAGTCAATTGGGTATCTGCCTTCGGCTCAGATCATGACCCAGGCTTCCTGCTCAGCGGAGAGCCTGCTTCTCCCTCTCCCTCTGCTGCTCCCCCTGCTGTGCTGTCAAATAAATAAAATCTTTTTTAAAAACCCTAAACTTAAATAACAGATGATTCATTCTTTCCCATCTCAAGGTATGTGTAGTTTTGCAAATATTCCCATGTCCCACATCCTGCAATAAAAATCCAAGTGGCTTTTCTGTGAGATAGGGTGAGCCTTCAGGAGTTGACTGTGCATTAGTAACAGCTGGTATTACACTGAGTTCATACTAAGTGCCCGGTACCATTCTAAGCATCCTACACGTTAGCTCATTTAATCCTCACCCAATGTTACAAGGTCGGGATAGTCTTATCCCCTCAAAACAGATGAGAGAACTGAAGTTTGCGGATTAGTGAAATTGAATAACTTGTTTGAGATAACGTAGTAAATGCCAGCGAAGTGGTTATTAGGTTAGAATCTGTAGGTTCCTGAAATATGTCAAAAACATGAAAATGGCCTTAGAGGACTCTGAGGTCACATGTCTCAACAAGGGTTTATGAAATGGTCGTATACCTGCCTGCGTGCTCTTCGGCTGCTAAGGCCACATTTGCCACAACAGCTGTGGACCTCTTTCCCTCGAGCACAAGAAAACAAAATACTCAGGACTCTTTCCAGCCAGTCGTCCAAAGCCAGCCTCTCCGTCCTCACATCACCCTTACTATTATGACAGCCTTGAACTTTATAAAGCGACAGACTAGCTGTGGGACCCCGAACAGGGCGTTAACTGACACTTGGTGCTGTTATCCGTACATGGGGATGATAATAGCGTCTCCGTCCCACAGTTTTGTGTGCTGTGAGCGCCCAGCTGCATTAGGCAGGCGCTCAATAAGAGGTTACTGGTTGTCACGATTCACTCCTACGAAGCCTCTATTTCTTGAGCCCACGGTCTTGAATGTCGCCGGAGGGAAAGGAGATGCTGAGCCAACTCTTGGGGTTTCCTTCCGTTAGCCCCTCGCAGTGAAGTTCACAGCTTTCATCACAAGACCTAGGACCTAGGAGGGAGCTGAGTAACGATCCTGCCCTCGCAGGGGTGAACAATAAGCGGCACGTCCCGAGCCTCCAAGAGCCCTCGGGGACGTCCAGCCTTCAGGAGCGAGGCCCTGACCGGGTGAGGGACAACAACCCGCGGGACGCACGGCCGCGGTGCGTAACTCCTCACCGCTGGGTACCTGCAGCGGGGCGGGCGCCGGCACGGGGCGCGGGGCGCGCCACAGACTACGTCTCCCGGCAAGCCCCGGGGCGACGCTTACCCGGGCGGGTCCGCACGCTTCCCGCCCTCCCCCGGGCGCCGCGCGGCGGCGGAGAGCACCCTGGCTTGCGTGCTTCTGAGGCCGTCGGGGCCACAGGACCCTCTACAGCAGCCCCGAGTAACCAGAGCGCGTGGGGACTGCCCTTAAATCGGGACAGTGGTTCTTAAACTTGTCTCTGGGGAAAGAGCTTAACAATTCAGATTGCTGCCCCCCTCCCCCCGCCCCCGGACACTGACGCACTGGATTTCGCGTGGCTCAGGGATTTTCACTTTAGCAAGCTTTCCGGGGAATTCTGATCCGGTAGCCCACCAGTCACGCCCTCAGGCTTGTTTTCCACTAAACTTACCTGCCCCGCCTCTCGTCTCCAATTGGCCCGTCGCTCGTCCCGCCCCTGCAGGCAAATCTTCCCTTCTGGTTGGTCGGGTCCGTGGCGAGACCTGTCCCAATGGGCGCTAGAATTCGCGGATCGTGACCCGGAAGTTGGTCCCGAGGCTGCGCCGTTGGCTGTGGTCGCCTAACGCGCGCTGGGACTTCCGGCGTGAAGCCAAGCGCCTGGTCTTGCGTGAGACCGCGACGAGCGTGAAGGCGCGGCGTTCAGGTCCTGCCCTGGGGCTGGGAGGGGGGGTGCGTCCTGCGGGTGACTGGATCGGGGTTGGCGCGGCGGCGCCCGTGATCGACTGAGGCCAAGGTGCCGGAGCCAGCTGCGCCCGGGCTGGAGCTGGGCTCCTTGGCCGGGACTTGCAGCCGCGGGGCCCGGGGAGACTTCTTGGGCGGGCGCAGCTGGTTTCGGGGCCAAGGCGCTCCCGGGGCCTGACGATGGCGTCGGTCCCGGGGTCCCAAGACCGGGAAGGGCTCCTGATAGTGAAACTGGAGGAGGACTGCGCCTGGAGCCAGGAGCTGCCCCCGCCAGATCCAGGGCCCAACTCTGAGGCCTCCCACTTACGCTTCAGACGGTTCCGCTTCCAAGAGGCAGCTGGGCCCCGGGAAGCCCTCAGCCGGCTCCAGGAGCTCTGCCATGAGTGGCTGCGGCCTGAAATGCGTACTAAGGAGCAAATCCTGGAGCTGCTGGTACTGGAGCAGTTCCTGACCATCCTGCCCCAGGAGATCCAGAGCAGGGTGCAGGAGCTGCATCCTGAGAGCGGCGAGGAAGCGGTGACCCTTGTGGAGGACATGCAGAGAGAGCTTGGGAGGCTGCGACTACAGGTGAGAGAAAGAGCTGTCTTATCTGCGGTTTGTTTGGCCCCAAGGACTAGGACGTTGCGGCGGCCCTGTTCTCCATACCTTTACTTGGTCCCCCGAGTAGACTTTATATGGGCAAGAGGTCTTTTCATAGTTTAGTCAGGAAGACTCATTTTCCAGGTTTTCCCCGGAAGGACAGAGTGAGCCGTGAAGAATGCCCTATTTCCACATGGAGGCAGGGGTTCTGCATTAATGTGACCCCCAGAGTTAATTTGCAGGGTTCAAATCCTCACTCTGCTCTGTAGCTTTGTGACTTTGGGCAAGTTACTTAATCTCTTTGGGCTTCGGATTTGCCACTGGTAAAGTGAGAATGATAAAACATCTTTTTAGGGTTGCTTTGAGGGTTGCAGGGAGAGCATCATGTAGTTTTGATCACACTACTGGCCAATAGTGCTTAATGGCTGTTAGCTGTTGTTATGTTAAGTGCAGCAGTCTGGTCTCCTCTGCAGAGCTAGGTCAGGTTACTAGTGAATTTAGGAAAACAGTTTGTCAGTGAGGTTCCGAGGGCATTTTCCCCCAGGGTCACCCAAGTTTAACTTATCCAAGAGTGAGGAATGGAAGCATATAGAAAGAGTGGGGGGAGGCAAGAGGAAGTCAGGTGTGTCAGAGAGCTGTGTGGGGAAGGTGTGCCCTGGGAGCGGACACCCTCCCCTCCTATTTTCTCCCATGCTTGGAGGATCAGGAAAGCTTTTAGTGTGAACTGTCCTTCTCTCTTGCTGGATCCAAAAGGATTGCCAGTGGTTCTCTGTTGAAGGCTTGCCCTCAGAATTCTGTACTAATTTCCCTTCCTATTATGGGCCCTGTTGTGATGATGAGTGATGTGGGTTGGTTCCCAGGTCACAAACCATAGGCGGGGAACAGAAGTGCTTTTGGAGGAGCCTTTGCCTCTGGAAACAGCACGAGAGTCACCGAGCTTCAAGTTGGAGCCATTGGAGACTGAGCGAAGCCCTGGCCCCAGGCTGCAGGAGCTGCTAGGCCCCAGCCCCAAAAGGGACCCCCAAGCTGTAAAGGAGAGGGGTGAGGAACAGTTGTCTGGGCAGGTGGGAGGGAGGAGGGGCTTCGGGGTTGCCCCCTGACACCATCAGGTGGAGTACGGTTGCCTAGGTGAGGGAATTTCTGATCTCAGGGTTCCCATATGTGGAGTGAAGGACCTAAAAGTGGTGGCTTGGGTTCTTCTGGGGATGGGAGGCGGGAGGGGGATCTCTAAGTAAGCCCAGCACAGACATTTAGAGCTTTGGATGATTGAGGACTTGAATGCTGCAGGCCAGCAGGGCAGTTGACTGGTGTTTTTTACCTGCACCCCGCCATTTTGGATATCGCTTTATTATGCCTCTGTTGCCTTCTTTTGCTCATTGTACAATCCTCAGCAGAGACTGGGTGTTGGGGAATGGATACCGTGTTGTAATAATCCTTGGGTTCCCAAGAATTACAAATGCCATTCTCATCATGATTTCTGTCACTTCAGCATTGTCTGCTCCCTGGCTTTCTCTCTTTCCTGCTGAAGGAAACATGGAAGACAAGGAGATGACTGGGCCCCAGGTGATGTGGAAGTTCCCATTGTCTCCCCCCCAGTACCTCTCCCCGCAGTTGCTCTTGTGGGGATGGGGTCTTTTTGCCTCTCAGAGAGGATCCTTTCTCTCTCACCACGCGCAGCCTCCCCGCCTTCTGTATTTTCTCCACACCTCACTTGTGGGCCTGGCACCCTTCTTCCCCATGAAATGTGTCCTTGGCACCCTGGGTTTTGCCCCTATAACTCATGACTCTGCTTGAATTGTTCTTGGTGCCTCGGGCTAAAGGAGATCTTGTGCTGTTTCAGTTGCCTGAGAGCTTAGAGGACGTGGCTATGTACATCTCCCAGGAGGAGTGGGGGCATCAGGATCCTAGTAAGAGGGCCCTCTCCAGGGACACGGTGCAGGAGAGTTATGAGAATGTGGACTCACTGGGTAAGGACTTCTTTTCCAGGGATGAAGACTGAGCCGCTTCTTACCAGGGGCCTGTCCTTTAGCCACTCACCTCCAGGACATAAGTTCTGAGTTTTGCCAGAAGACCTCCTTTTTTCTAAAGCCCCCTGAATTAGGATCATTTAAACATCTGGCAGGTGGCACAGTTGGCAAACTTATGACCCCCGGCTGCCAGAGCTGAAGGCAGGGAATGTGAGTTTTATGGACTTCCCAGGGCAGAGCAAATCAAATCCACTGACAGCCTCCCCCCACCCCCACATCACACAGACTCTCAGTTCTTGATGCCTTGCAATTTTGAGATGCTTATTCTTCTGACCTCATTTGTATTTTCTATGCTTCATTAGTATTTCTAGGCCCTTCCCCAACTTTCAGGGGGCACTGGCATCAATATTCCAGCTTAGCAGTTATCCCAGCCCTTAAAAATTCAGGAACGGGGGAGGCCTTTTGGAAATTTGAAAATGATATATATGTGTAAAATGGGATAAATAAATTAAGATGCATCTATGTGTTGAACTATTATGCAGAGATTAAAAATGAGGCTTGCGAAATACGACAAAAAACTGATAGTTGGATCTGGGTGAAGAGTGTACAGGTATTGTATAATTCCTTCAACTTTGGATGTATGAAAATTCTCATAATAAAAAGTTGTGGGAAGTCTTAGTGTAAAACAGTTCTGTATATGTTACAGTTGATTATAGCTGTATTAACACATGGTAGAAAAGAGTCACACGTACTTTTTTTCATACATCAGGTGTTTGTAAAGAGACACAGGTATCAACTCACTTGCACTAATTCTGCATAGGAGTCACTGCTGGGTTTGGTTCCCTTCACTGGGATCTTGTCCAGGTTATCCATTCTTGGGCCTGGCTTGGTGCCCTAACTTAAGCAGAGCTTTCAGTGAGTGCTGCATAGGAAGAGAAGTTTGGATCACAAGTTCTTAGAACTAAACTGTTTAAAGTCCATGTTTGCTGGGATTGGAATGAGGTTTTAGTTTTAGCATAGCACAGGAATGGTGCTTTTGGGTTTTAACCTCAGGGTCCTCCCAGAGCCCCAGGTTTCTTTCTGATTGTCCATCATATTATATTTTCTCCTGGAGTTGTCTAGTGGAACTCAGTTCTAGTTTATATTTATCTGTGAGAGTCAGGGCTCTTTTATAATATTAAACTAATTCCTCAAGAACTGATCACTCTAATCATGTTTGTTTGATTGTTTTAATTACAAAAGTATACATTCTCATTGCAGAAGGTCCCAAGTACTACAAAAGTGTAAAAAGAAAAAAAAGCCATAGTCTCCCTCCTCCAATTTCTTTCTCTGGAGGTAATTACTGAGAACAGTTGAGTGTACATTCCAAGTATTTGCTGTCAGACTTATTGCACCTTCTGTGGATATGTCCACTAAGTGCGGGGAACAAGATTATCTTTGTTTCTTCTGCCTGGTAGAGAAAAACGGTGACATAGAAATCTGTTTCTTTCATTGTAAACAGAGTCTCAGGTTCCTAGTCAGGAGACCCTGAGCACCCATGTGGAACAAGGAGGAAAGCCATGGGATCCCAGTGTTCAGACTTGCAAGGAGGGCCTGAGTCTCAGAAGCCCAGCTCCAGGTAAGGAATGAAGATGAGCAGCCTGTCCAGCTAGCATCCCACTGTTGGGAGGGAGGCATTTGAGGATTTGGGTGTAGGACTAGCTCATCACTGTTGCCAGGAAGATACATTGCTTCCTGTGTCCCCACTGCCCACTTCCATCCCAGGGTACAGAATGCAAGGAGGCATTCACCCCTGGGCCCCACCCTAGTCTCAGCTGTACTCCATCCCATTCATTTCCACAGGGCAGAAGC